ACACCGTATGACAGAGAATTTTGAAAGCAACAATAGAGCAGGGTTATGCATTAGATTAGGTACAACATTTGAATCACAAACTTTAGACCTGTGACGGATCTAAGAGTGACCCCAGTTGGATTGAATGCTTGGGTTGGTAGGTCAAAAGCTCCTAGTTGCCTTATATATTGGCCATGGGATGGTCATTGGAGAAAAAAACTCCTATCTGCTTCTTCTTGCATGGGTGCCTTTGATTATAATGAAAATGATATTATTAAGTTGGCCTATCCTGATCCACCATCAAATACAGTTGATAACACAACCATAGAAAGACATGCCTGGGACATCATATGGAAACAAGTTTCAAAGAGTACCACCTTATACATATCTTCAAAAGGCAAAAGAAAAATTAGCATAAGTATTCTTTGATAATGGAATTGTGAATTAATAGAGAAGTAAGGTGGCAGTGGCACAAAATACTATGTGGAGAGTAACTTCGTTGTCATCACTTTTTGCACTCCTCGACCCAGATTCATTTGAAAATAAACAAATAAGTTGATTGGGAGAATAAGTAGAAACTCAAGATAATTTCTCAAACCAGATGCTTATTAACCTTTTGCCTCTTGTCTATGGTATTTGATGCAGTCTTGCACAAGGAATTCTTGAAGAAAACTGGATAATAGCTTTACTAAAGAGATCAGCCCTATTTATAGAGGCTGACTTACTAACTGATACACGGTAAGAACGAGTTACTGTAAAGTAACTTAGCAACTAACTAACAAGGCTACAACTTAGCTTAGGAAAAGCGTATATAACAACTAACTACCATATCAGTATTCAAGATGATAATGTTCATCTGCTGACTTCGAAGGACATCTATTTGTTGTCATCATGCCATCAAATAACTTTAGAGTTCAATACACATATGTATAAATGAAGGAAGATGAGACCAGTTCACTTAACATCAATGTGGTTCCTTACCCTCTAGAGCCCACTGATGGATAGGAATAACTTTCAGTTGCAGCTGATCTGGTGCTTTCAAAAGCCAGGCTTGGAGACCCCATTCTAACTGTAGCCCGAGGTCCTCTAATAATCAAAAGCACGTCCATTATCCACCATTTCTTTAAAAGGAACGAGCAGGACGAAATAAAAACAGTCAAGTCTTCCAAAAAAGACCTCCATAAATAATATTTTGTGTAGGCTTTGAGCTCAACTTTAAACGGTATTTATGACTAAAGATGCAATTACCTTTGCCTATGCCTACAAGATTACACTGGACTGAGTAAAATTGGTGGATATGTATATATTTGCACGTGCGAAATAAATTTTTATCATCTGGATTCTCTAAGTCCACTAGCAAGGATATTTCTACTTCCTACCATAAAGGAAGGACCTTTTTAAAAAAAATGGAAACAATTTTTATTGATTAGGTGAGAATTTTCCTATGCATAGTTTAAAAGGTCAAAATTACAACCCAAATTATAAAAGAAGCGCTTCGTATTTTTTCTCTATAAGAATACCACCATTAAGATTTATAACAGATGAAAATAAATTTATTTAAAAAAAATGATTAGACATATAGGTCCATAAAAACAATGAAATTTGGCCAACTCAAAAACTTGGTCCCTATCTCAATCTTTTTTGTTGAAGATGAGATGATTTCCTTCAAGCCCTAATTTCAATTGTCCATAGAACTCGTCTTCCCTTTAAACTTTTGCCCATAAAACCATTATTGTAAATCGTACTTTTTTCCAATCCGTCAAAAACCCATGACATTTGAAACTCCTTCAGCAAAATACGACTTTGAACGATAACATGTGCAGGACAACATGAGAAAAGCTATAGATTCATAGTCATCGTTACCTATCATATTGGTGATGAAGACTTGGAGCAGCGCCAGTGGTTTGAAAAGCCATAGGATGTGACTGAACTCTACAGAGATGGGGGGCGCACATTAGAAGCAAAGCCAAAAATCTTCACTCAACAAAACAGCAAAATGGTGTTGGAAGCAAAGCAGCTCAGCACTAAAAAGTAAACCACAGTACACCTCACAGCAAGTATTTCCCAGAAAATATTAAATCTTACGGTCTCAGTGTTGCATTCTTGCAAGTAAGAACCGTAAATTTTGAATAAAAATTTAGTGTTGTAGCAATGCTTGATCATGTATCACAAAGTGAATTCACTTTTTAGACCTGGGTATTCAAGTAATAGGCCAGGCCAGCTAAGACGAAGGAGGAACAATAATCCAAAATTTCTTCATCGTCAGACCCGAGCATTGGTAAAGGCAAAAGCGAATAACACCCAATATACGTAGAATCTGAAAGACCCTCCTATTCCATACAATTGATAATGACTCACGACTGTAATAGGTTTTTCCAGTCCATTCGTTCAATCCGCACATAAATGAAAGGAGACTGGCAATAACAGAAGACAATATAGAACCTGGGAGCCCGTGGAGGAGAAGCATCGGAAAATGCAGGGAAAGTCGACGGAGAAGGAGAAACTGAAACAGGACGCGCTGAACTTCCAAATGAATGTTGCAATTTCGGCGGTGCACTGGGTCCTGAAGCCTTGCCAAACCCCTGGTACGACATTCTTCTTCTTCTTCTTCTTCTCCTCCTCCTTCTTCTGAACTTCTAGTGCATCAGTCCAATATCAGTGACGATTTTTATTTCGCAGATCAGCACAAAAGCTTCAGCTGGTTCGCGCTCACGAGTTCGTCGGAATTTATAGTGTAGATTGAGAAAATTTTTCCCTCGGCAGCCATGGTTTCATGTCGGATAATTTTCCAATTACAAAGGAAAACCTCTTTTTTTTTTCCCATTTTGAAAACTTAAAAGTTAATACTCAATTTTGTTTAAAGTACAGTATGTAAAACGAATAATCCAACTCACGTCCTCTTTATTTTAGATATATGTTAATTAGCCAAAGTAAGCAGAGTTCAACAATAATTGACATATGTGAATTTGAATCTCCTCTCAACATGTTATACTAAAAAAATGTAATTAGTTTGCTGTATTAAAAAATAATAATTTAATAACACATCCACGTTGACCATTTAATTTGTTTATTTTAGGATTTTATTGAGAATTTTAAAAATAGTACAAACCAAAATTGAGAAAATAAAAATTTTATATATATATATAATATTAAATAGCAGTCGGTACCTTTAGCCAACAAAATCCAATAGATAAAAAGAATGCACGCTATGTATTATAGTTGAGTGTTGTTTCAATTTAGTATATATTGTTTACAAATTTTAAAATTAAAGTCACTTATGTACTTTTTTTCTTTTTATATTTTCTAATTTAATTTCTCACCGATAAATGTTAAAGTTGACATATGATAAACTTATAAGATATATTATTTAGTGAATTTACAAACTATTAGAAGGATAATTTTTTATATATATATAAACATTGCTTTAGGAAGGAATTTTTATAATATCTTATGAATTAAAAAAAACCAATTCACGTTTTTGTATTTAATATATTGATAATATTTTTCAATTAAATGGACGTCAATTTAGATTATCATTAGTCAAATTTAATATTTAATAATGACAATATACTATTAAAAGATGTTAAAATGTTAAAGATTATACTGAAACTTTTTAAATCTGGTCAAATAAAAAAATCAATGATAAAACATATTTAAATGAATAAATTTATTAAAATTATAAAAGTGACATTTTAATCATTAAAGTTTGAAAAACTCTTCTAAGTAGTATATGAATCCATTTCATGATTAACAGAAAACTAACGTAGCATAGTTGACCTGATAATTTTATAAATAACGTGGTAAATATTGTAAATTAAAAATATATATAATTTTATATGGAATATAATACGTAGGATGGGATTTGAACTCACATTTGAGATATACGTAATATATATTTAATTTTATATGGAGTATAATACGTAGGACGAGATTTGAACTCACCTTTGAGATATACGTCGATTACTCTGCTTTTGACAAATATATATTTAATTTAACCAACATTTTACGAGCAAAGTATTTTTGAAAAATCCGAGTTTTTTCAAGTTCGACAATTTGCCTTGCCTCTGTTCCCAACCTTTCCCCAGGTTCCGTCCAAGTGCATTCCCCCGAAAACTTTATCGGGAAAGTTTCTGCCTAAAGATTGTTCCGTTTCGTTTCTCTCTTCGTTGGCTCGTTGTAAAATCGTTCATCAATCGAGGAAGACGACGAAGGAACCCGCTCGACGGCTGCAATTCTCGCGAACTGTCGCCATGGCTGCCCCATCAGCACCAAATTCGGTTCAGAAATCAGAGGAAGAGTGGCGAGCCATTCTTTCTCCGGAACAGTTTCGCATTCTTCGCCAGAAAGGAACCGAGTAATTCTGATTTCTGACCATCCTTCCCGTTTAGTTTGTTTGTTTCACTGATCAATTTCGTTTATACTGATTCGAGTAACGTGTAGAATTTCGGAATTGATATGCTCTCAAATTAATTGAATCATTTTGCTTACTGTTCTTTGAGCTTTTGGTTTCAATGGCTGTTGGCTTTTGGGATTTGTTCCAAACAGGCTTCATGTGTGATTTTGTGTGTCAACTGCTGAGTATAGATTTTGTCGACTGCTGTCTTTTTCTTTTCTTCCTTTTTTTTTTTTACTGGAAGTTTGTGTCTGTTTTCATATTGCTATATATTCTTAGTTTTGGCATCCATAGTTGAACTTAGCTACATTGAATGACGACAACTTCTGTCATTAAATTCCAAAATAGCACTATTTTTTCATGTATCCAAGATCTGTATCCAATCTCCGAGACCCCTTTTAAGGTCTTGCTCGTTTGAGCTGGAAGTTTGCGGATGTGAAGTCTCACAATGTTATTTTGTTTTTACTAAGGACCCTAACCCAAAATGTTCAAGAAATTTAGTTAGTGAAGTAATATGATAAAATTATGATCGAAAGAAATGAGATAAAAATGAAAAGTCACTTTTTAAGAGTATAGAGACCAAAATGGCCAGATATTTCAAAAGTACAGGGACTAAAATGAACAAAAATTAAAAGTAGAATGATCAAAATGAACGTTTTGAAAATACAAGAACGAAAAATGAACATAAATCAAAAGTACAGAGACCAAAATAGTTTTTAAACCAAAAAGTTACGATTGAACTCAAGGTCTTGCATGATGTATCAATTATTTCCAATATGAGGTATCTTTGGTTGTATGGCTCGAGCCTTGTTCGTCAAGATACGAAGCTCAACTGGCTATCGTGCACTGTATAATATAGTTTTCAAGCTTGCTCGTGCATAGCTTATTAGTTGTGTTGTGCACTTGTAGTCGATTCGTTTGAATTTCATGTGATCTTTTTAGTTACCAATCACCATAGCTAGAAGTGGACAATATGCAGGCCTCGTGGAACCGGGAAATACGACAAGTTTTCCGAAGATGGAATTTACAATTGTGTTGGCTGTGGAACCCCACTCTACAAGTCAAGCACCAAATTCAACTCGGGTTGTGGTTGGCCTGCTTTCTTTGAAGGTTTTCCTGGAGCAATCAATCGCTTTGTGAGTTACTTTATCACTTTCAAGCGATTTACTTTTATCACTTTCAATATTCATAGGATTCTATTTCAAAACTATGGGAGGAGTAGTTTTCAGTCTCTTGATCTTTTCGATGTGGGATCCTTAACAATCACTGCCTTTTTGTTTGAAGTGCATAGGCTAGTTTTCATTCTTGTTGTATATTGCAATTAGATGGATTGAAAACAACAGACTGATAACATGTAAAAATATTTTCAGCCTGACCCTGATGGAAGGAGAACTGAGATAACATGTGCTGCATGCGGTGGCCATTTGGGGCATGTTTTTAAAGGCGAGGGATTCGGGACGCCTACAGATGAACGGCATTGTGTCAACAGCATTTCAGTCAAGTTTGTTCCTGCCAATGCTTCGCAGTGAAGTCTTCAGGCAGCATTTCAGTCAGAGGTGGTGCTAAAATCGGTATCTTTTGTTCATGTATTGTAGAATTGCTTTGGCATAATCGCCATGATACTAATAAATAAAAAAATTGGCTATGTGTATTCTGATATGATAACAGCACTTAAAAACATGTTTATAAGTTCTACTAGTATTCTGAAATTGTTATTTATGTTAGATTTGCACGCCTAGATGCTGGCATGAATCTAATTGCTTGTGGCTAGCTTTTAAAGTAAGGAGGAAGATACATGATGAGCCATATCACATTCGAATAAGAGGGATCCTAAGATCATGATAGCATGATTAAGAAAGACTTAAAAAAATTGATAATAACTACCTATAATAACAAGGGGCATGTTCTTTTTTGGTCATAAAAACTCCAAAGTTAAGCATGCTTGGCTCTGATGAATCTTAGGTTGGGTGGCCTCCTAGAGGATTTTTCTAAGAAGTATGTAAGTGAAGATAAAACATGCTGCCACTCGTGTTGGTTTGTGGGATAGTTTTCACTCTTTCAAGCAACTTAAGTTAAGTAAATGGTACAACCAGGTTGCAAGAGAATGTCGTGGCCTAGGGCATTACAAAAAAAGTAAAAGGTTCGGAGTTTAGGTAACTAAATGTAGTAGGATTGTTAGATGTCCCGTGAGATTAGTTGAGTTACGAGAACTCACATATATACCAGAAAAGGGTATGATTTATGACTTAATGCAATGGAAACTAAGTTTTTGCCATTTGTCTCTTGTGTTTGTAGTTCAAAAGTTGCTTGGCTTTTCTGAAGGTCACCTTCTGGCTCTTTGCTCCTTTTGGGTTTCATATCTTTCTGTTTGGAATTAAAGGCAAACCATTTCTTCCTCTAGAATAGAGTATTTCCTGGCTGTTCAGTAACACATGTCAGTCATGTGATATAAATTCTTTCATAAGTTTTGTTTATATTTATCAGATACATATTAAATTGACTTTGCCAGTGTGAAGTAAGTTGAACTTAGTCTATTAGAAATGGACCATCCAGCCAAAATAGCTCCTAAGAACAATGTGAACCAAACCTGAGGATATTAAATAGGCATTTACTTCATTTCCTTTTGCATATATATTCGCTTTTCTTAACTTCTTTATCAGTGCATAAAGAAACTACTGCTTAAAAATGACAAAATTTCCAATACTAAAAAATAATGTGAGGTACAGGTACAATGAAGACAAAAATTATAGTATAAAATAGAGGAGTTGGTATTCTCACAGTACTATAAATTTTTTCGCTTCAAAACTACAATATTCAAAGGAATTGGGATCGGGATAGCTATTTTTCTGAAATGTTCATGCTAGTCTCGATCCCAACTTTACCACTCCAACCTATTTTTTGAGAAGTAACAACCACACCACGATTTGACTATTAATGTCTAATTAGAATTCCAAATCCTTATATTTTTGCCAGTTTTGGAACTTTGGTTTTTCATATTGTTTCATTTCCATCTTTGTATTTTTGTTAATGGTATAGATTAGTAGTAATAAAAGATCTTGCATGATGTGTTTTAGTTGTTTTTGTTTTTTTTTTTTTTTTGTGGGATAACTTATTGTTCGGTTTTCCATATATATGCAATTGCATGACGTCATGGATGACGTTTGTTTTAATGTTGGTGCTATGGTAGCTTTTGGTTACTATTTAATAACTTTAACAATTAAGAACTAATAATAATAATAATTTAGGTTTGGGCGTTGCCGCAGTGGTAAGAGGCTTGGGAGTTGACACCCAAGATCTAGCTTATGTCCAGAAATCAAGGAGAAAAAGTGAATGAAATAATAAAAATATACTAATAAAACGGATGAAAGTTATAAACGAAATTTATGATTGTGCTTCATGCCATTTTTTATATACTTTTCAAAATGTTTTATTCATTAGTTGGATTTGTATAATTTTAAAAAAGTCAAACTTATATATGTTACCTATTTTTATCATTCTGGGGACCATAAATTTGTTACTTGTATGTAATACGTAAATGTACGTTTTTAAAATTAGCTTCTCAAATGGTACAATTACATTTACACGAACTATAAATATTTAGGGTAAAATATAGCTTAGAATAAGATTTCTAATACCATTCTAAAGGTTTAGCCCTCTCCCCCAGTAATTGTTTTGTAATTAAATCTAATTATAACAATATTTATAAAAATAACTTTAGTATATATGTGCTGCTTAAATATAATAGTTTAGTTTTCTACATTAACATGGAAGCCTCTATAAGAGTATATATATATAATATATATACATATATTATACGTTTTGTTATAACTTTTTAATTTCATGCTTGGTAGTAAAAATAGTAAAAATATATTTGTTGTTTTTCTTTTTACCTCAATAGTACATTTGTAATTAATAGATGCCGTTCCCTTTTCTTTTCTTTCTAAAAAATTAGAATTATTAAATACGAAAACCGACAACCTACAAAATCATATTTCTATAGTAGAAAAATCCTTTTATTTATTTATTTTGTTTTTTTAGACTCCCTTTGGCAAAATTTTTTTTTTTTAATTTATCTTAAAATTTTTAATGTACCATTCAAATATTGAACAATTTTCATTCGAGTCCCCATTCACACATCAAATTGAATAATAAATAATCTGAAAATTTAAAAGTTATTATTTTCTATAGATTGATTTTCTTTTTCTAATGTGAATATACATTTCACTCCATCAAATTAAAATTCAACCAACCTTATTTAAACAAAAGTACAAACTCAAAACCCTACCCGACCTATAAAAAGTAATAATTTTCAAATTCTAAATTCCCATTCCATCACTCAATTTGAACGATACTATTAAGTTGAAATTGATCCAAAAATTAAAATGGAAAAGTAATGTATATTTAGTCTAAATAAACGAATAAAAAAGAGAGAAAAAAAGTGGAAAAAAGTGATAAAATGGCAATGGGAGAGTGGGCACCCTAACCATGGTAAATTAGAGAAGGCCGATTCAACTAACCATGGTTACTTAATTTGGTTAACATCAAAGCCAAAAAAGTAAGAAACAATACAATACAACAACGCCTGAGGCCAAAATATTCAGTAAGGAGAGAGAGAGAGAGAGCCTATATGCTCTACGCTACAGCAAGAAAATAAGGAAACGAAAGGAAAAAAAGAAAGAGAGAGAGAAAAAAAAATACATCAAAAAGAAAGGGGAAAAAAAAAAAAGGAAAAAAGGCTCTTACAAGGATTTCTCTATCTGATTCTCCGATGTTTTTCTGATTTTTGTATATTTCCTTACAATCTCCGATTGTTCCAATCACCAGCTTGAATCGGCTGCGCTCTGCCGATCGTTTCGCCGTCCGTTCTTCAACATTAAATTATCGAATTTGTGTTGGGGATCTTCTATGTTTCTAGCAGTCCCCAATTTAAATTGTTGATAAATTTGTTGTTCCTTTGATCTACGAGGTTGGTTTCGGCTTTTAATTCGCGATGGAATTGGAATTAGATGATTAGATTATAGTTTTCGCTCGTGTTGCACGGGTTCAACGTTTTGACGTTTTATATAGATGCTTCAGTTTCTGCTTTCGGTATTTGTGTTTGTGATTGATTTGTTTTTATCTTTCTTTCTTTTTTTTTTTTTCCGGTGGACGCAGATTTTGATTGTCGTCGATTTTAGTACTGAGATTCAAGGTATGCGTCTTACTCCTCGTTAGATGAATACTCAACAATCTGAATGGTTTTAGTTATCTGCCAAATTTTTAGCTGGATACGATTCATTCATGCGATGCCAGTTCTATTATTCTCTCTCTCTCTCTCTTTTAATCTTTTGGTTTACATAAGATGGATTGATATTCATGGTTTTCCTACTGCATTGAGGTATGAGAGACGTATGGTACTTTTACGTGTTAAGTGTATATAGTTCACACCTGAGAGAAGGAAAAAAGGATAACTAGATTAAGGTATTCATACTTTGTTGTCTTGTGCAGTGGAAAATGGCATCGATGGTCGCTAAGCCGAGTTGTCCTAGTACTAGCAATCATGTGCCTTCTTCTATGACTGTCCAGGAGAAAGGGAGTAGGAATAAGAGGAAGTACCGAGCAGATCCACCTTTAGGTGACCTGAATAAGATCACCATGTCATCTCAAGATGAATGCCCGAGTTATGAGTTTTCTGCTGAGAAATTTGAGATAAGTTCAAATATTGGGCAAACCAGTGCGTGTGATATTTGTAGCATTAGTCAAGAATACTCTGCTGCATTGAAACTTGATCTCGGATTGTCCAATGGTTTGGGGTCTTCTGATGTTGGGTTAAACTGGCCAAGGGAGGAATTAGATGTTGATGAGGTCGAAGATGCTGATTGGAGTGACCTTACAGAAGCTCAGCTCGAAGAACTTGTTTTAAGCAATTTGGACACAATATTCAAGAGCGCAACCAAGAAAATTGTTGCTTCTGGATACAGTGAAGAGGTTGCTATAAAAGCTGTCTCGCGGGCTGGCATTTGTTTTGGTTCTAAAGACACCGTGTCAAATATAGTGGACAACACCTTAGCTTTTCTTAGAAGCGGCCAAGAAATTGATCATTCAAGGGAACACTGTTTTGAAGATTTACAGCAACTAGAGAAATATATTTTAGCCGAATTAGTTTGTGTTCTCCGAGAGGTTAGGCCTTTCTTCAGCACTGGGGATGCAATGTGGTGCTTGTTGATATGCGACATGAATGTAACTCATGCATGTGCAATGGATAGTGACCCATTTAATGCATTTTTTTGTGACGGGGCTTCGAATGAGAGTTCGTCTAACTCTATCCCACAGATAAAAGCAGAAGCCAAAATCTCTGAGATGAATCTTCCTAAGCCCGTTAAGCCAATTTCTCCAATCAGTTGTGCTCATAGTTCTCAATCCGAGGAACCAGCCACTCTAGGAGTTCCTAATCTTCCAAAAACAAAGGATCCCGTGTTTTTGAGTGGACCAGTATCAGATAAAGAATTTCAAAGTTCCGCCTCTGATGTTGCTGAGGAATCATTTAATGTAGCTGGAAACTCTCAAACTTCTGTATCGGAAGAAAAAATTGGGAGCAGTAGGAAGTTTCATTCTAATATAACAAAGAGAGAATACATGCTTCGACAAAAATCGCTTCATGTGGAGAAGAACTTTCGAACATATGGACCTAAGGGCTCATCAAGAGGTGGGAAGCTGACGGGTTTGGGGGGTTTAATGTTAGATAAGAAAATAAAGTCTGTTTCAAGCTCCACATCAGTAAACTTTAAGAATGCTTCGAAAATAAGCAAGGCTATGGGAATTGATGTGATCCAAGACATTGGGAACCATAGTCTTTCCACCATTGACATTCCAGCTTCCTCCCTAGCATTTTTGGAAAACATTAGCACCATTTCTCCTTTTTCTAAGGCCAATACGCTATCTTCAATGCCTGCACCTAGTTCACCACCTGCATTACCTGAAGCTAATACTTCTTCTGCATTATCAACATCTGACATTGATCTTTCTCTTTCTTTGCCCACTAAAAGCAATCAGCCTTCGATGCCTATCAGCTACAACGCTGAATCTTCTTCTAGCAGTTTTGTTGAGAAATCTTATGAAAAGTCACTTGGGCAGTGGTTTCCTAGGGATAAGAAGGATGAGATGGTTTTGAAGCTAGTACCAAGAGCACGGGAGTTACAAAATCAGCTGCAAGAGTGGACGGAGTGGGCCAATCAAAAGGTCATGCAGGCTGCAAGGAGGCTGAGTAAGGACAAGGCTGAACTCAAGGCTCTGAAACAAGAAAAGGAGGAAGTTGAGCGGCTGAAAAAGGAGAAGCAGACTCTGGAGGAAAATACCATGAAGAAGCTTTCTGAGATGGAACATGCATTGTGTAAGGCTAGTGGGCAGGTTGAACTTGCTAACTCTGCTGTTAGGAGGCTCGAGGTGGAGAATGCTGCACTACGGCAGGAGATGGAGGTTGCAAAGTTACGTGCTACAGAATCAGCTGCTAGCTATCAAGAGGTTTCGAGGAGGGAGAAGAAAACACTAATGAAAGTTCAATCATGGGAGAAGCAGAAAACATTGTTCCAGGAAGAACACACGGCCGAAAAACGAAAATTGAAACAACTAATACAGGAACTAGATCAAGCCAGGGATCTCCAGGAGCAACTTGAGGTATGTTTTAACAAGTTACCCATAGTTCTCATGAGCTTTAGCTATTATCTTCTAGTCCCTTCATTATTAATTGACAACTAATCTGTAGAAATGATGGATGTCATAAGCAGAATGACTATAGATTGAATGATAAATTAAAATTTTCACTTCCCAGGAATAATTATGATACACTAAATGACGCTTTTTACCTGTAGTGGTCCAAAAGGCAATAACTGCCCTAGGAAAGGAACCCAGTTAACAATGTGTATTCCGCTTTATCTTTCCTAGGGGATTTCAACTGAACTTTAATCCTGTTATGCATAGATCATTTTGCAATTTTTGTTTGCTGTGCTTAGTTCCTGGAATGTTTGCAGATTACTGGTTGGTGTTTTCACCCCCTTTGAAATATCTGAGTATGTTCCTCTTTTTCCTTGTTGAGCATTAAATATGTTGTTTAGGGATACTTGCTCAGTCGAGAAGTAACAAAAAAGTTTAAATTGTTACCTTTGGACTCTTTCTTATAAAGGTACATGTTGCATCTCTTTTTAGGTGCAAAATTAACATTAGCTCATCATTTAGTTTTTCTCTTAATATTAAATTTCAACTCTTAATCGTATGTTCTTGCTTGGTTGTTCATGTTGTGCAGCTTTTAATATGCGATGCATTTGTTTCTCCAACAGTTCATGAATTTTCTGAAAATTTGAGTATTTGCATGTCAACCCTAAAAAAAATCTGAATTACTATATGTTCTATCTTGAACATACTTTCTTTGCGTTTTGTGACTCTGTTGCTAGTTTTGTCCTTAAATGTTTCTCATTGGTTTTCAATATTTCTGACATTAATTCTTCGTTTCATGGGTTTTAAATATCGACGGATGCCGTATTCCTACAACCTAGTACTTAATTTGCAGTGTTTCTCTTGGTTCTATTAATTACGTGGCAACTTGTGGACCCTTTCTGATTGACAAGGAACATATCTCAGGGTAGATGGAAGCTGGAGGAGAGAGCAAAAGATGAGGTGCTGATGCAGGCTGCTTCGTTAAGAAAGGAAAGAGAACAAATCGAGGCTTCAGTGAAAGCAAAGGAGGATACGATTAAACTGAAAGCAGAAAACAATCTTCTAAAATACAAAGACGATATTCAAAAGCTTGAAAAAGAAATCTCCCAGTTGAGACTCAAGACTGATTCGTCGAGAATTGCTGCTCTTAAGAGAGGCATTGACGGAAGTTATGCCAGTAGGCTAACAGATACCAGAAACAGCACAGATCATAAAGAATCCTGGACCCCAAATGTCTCGGAATCGATGAAGGATCTTTACGAGTACTCTGGAACCGGGGGTGTGAAGAGGGAGCGGGAGTGTGTGATGTGCCTTTCAGAGGAGATGTCAGTAGTTTTTCTCCCATGCGCCCATCAAGTGGTGTGCACAACCTGCAATGAACTGCATGAAAAACAGGGTATGAAAGATTGTCCTTCTTGTAGGAGCCCCATACAGCGGCGTATTCCAGTCCGTTATGCTCGCTCGTAATCAGTTTTTACCGTTGAGTTCGAGTGCTTTTGAATAATGTTCTGGGACTCCTATGGAATGGAATAATGCATTTGAATTACCCTTGTTAGAAAATGTTGTGGAAAATCAAGTTTGCCTGTGTTGGTTATTACAAATCCTTACCTTACCTCCCTCAGCAGCTGTTTGAACAATCAACAAGGTACTCTTTATCTTAAACTCTTTAAGAATTTTAGCATCCAAAAGTAGATGATGCAAGAGAAGTCTTGTCCTTAAAATTGCCTTTTCTTTTTTCCTTTCTCTTTTCTTGGGTCCTTTACCCAAATTTTGGCGGAATCTCTCTCACACGCTGTTGAACTAAAAAAGAAAAAACACAAGGCAACTTATTTATTTGGTTTTGGGTTAAGTTATGATTTTCTTTTGGTTCTAGTTTGGTTTTTTCTTTTATTATTATTTTTTTTTAAAAGGGGGATTTGTTGATGATACTTTTTATCAATGTTTCTATCAAAATTAGTCTAGATTGCTAGGAATCAAAGTTTGTTAATTAAAACGTGTATCTTTCAAATTTAGGAGAAAAATACATTTTTTTGTCCATAAATTTTGTGTTGAATTCCAGATCTTAAATTTCAAAACCAAAGAGATTATCCTTTTTTAGATTTTATTATATTATATTTTTTACGCCCAGTGTAGCAATGATTTATTATTAATTTCGTATTTCTTATTTTACTTAAATATCAATAAGTTGAACTCTAAATTTTTAATTTAATAAAAATTAACAAAATAAATATATGTATAATTTTTTGGGCAGGTGATTTTCTTACCGCTTCCATTTGCCAATCATTCAAAAGTAGTGAAATAACTATTTTACCATTTCTTACTACTTCACTTCCAAAATCCATAACAAGTATTTAAAAAACGACTTAAAATTACATAATGAGTTTGAATAATTATTTTAATCTTTTTTAGAAAGCTAAAATATTTTAGTGAACCATAGACTTGAAATGAATATTAGACTTGTGGTCAATTAATCATAGCTCAATTAGTTAAGAAGATATATAGGTTCAAATCCTACCTTCAAATATTGTTGTAATGAGTGTGTTTGTGAGTGATTTTGACATGACCTAAATCACTTTAAATTATTTTTTAAGGTATCACTTAAATAATGATTTTAAAAAATCAATTATACTTCAATCTCTTTTTTCAAAATTACTCGATCTACTGGTACTCCTAAACACATATTTAACAAAGAAAAAATGTATTTATCTCTAAAGAAAGAAAAAAGGAGAGAAACAAGTGCCATTGAAATAAGATAGCCCTCTCTTTTTAACTCAAATAGTCTTTTAATTTAGTTTTATTTCTTAAGCGATAAATCATCTATTTCTACTTTTGAGGTTGTATATTTGGTGTAATAAAAGAAATTAGGGGAAAGAATATTATGTCTTAGAGGTGTAACTAATGTTTATTGAATTTATGTAGACTCGTTTTTTTAGTGTAATCACTAATAATTTAAAACATTGAATTTTTGTTTCCTTTCTTCTAAAGAGAAGAAACATGAAATTTGTTTAATGTGTCTAATAGCAAACATTTCTAAATAAGCTTTAGGAGGATAATGAAATTATGGTAATACATTTTCTTCTTTTAAAAAAACCATTTTTACTCCTATACTAACCTTAAGCTTTTTAATTTCATTGAATTAAACTCTAAACTTAAGTAAGTATTACAATTAATATTTTCTTCAAATTAAATTAGAAATTTACCTATGAATGAATTAATAAATCATATAAAATTAATTTCTAAAAAATATAAAAAACAAATCAAAATAAATAAATCATATAAAATTCAACTAACAAAGAACTAAAAGTTATATCCTAAACTTAATTATTAAAATACTTGAATACAAAAAAACTCAAGGGTTACCCAAAAAAAAAAAAGGAAAATGGGGAGGAAAATTTATCAAACTTTTTTTTTTCTTTTTTTGAGTACAACAGTAAAATTTATCAAACTTAAACCCTAAACCCTAATAAAATTGAAAGACTCTAAATATACCTCTCCAATCTTTGAAATTTAAGAAAACTTTTCATCACGTGCGGACTCTGAGGAGCCTTTTATTTACCAATCTATAGTTGTTGAGAAATTGTTGTTATGAAGTTGGTGCAGTGATCCTTTTTAATAAGAGTTTACCTTACACACATAGTGTTACTTGTCCTGTCATTCTAATGCACAAGTCAGATCAAGATCGATCAAAATTGTCGAGCTAAGCAAGAATTAGAATTGTGTGTATCTCATGTGAGACTTTGATTACTCTGTCGCAGTAACATACTTAGTTTATCATGTTCGTGGTCTAAGGTTAGACTATTCGAAGTGACTTCTTATCAAAGTAGTCCTACACTAAGTTGCACATCTATCTTGAAGAGGGTTTTGCCGTACAAATAGAATAGTCCATTTATACAGAATGGTAAAGGGGTCCCTCTATGATGATATAAATGAAYAGAAAGGGATATTTGAATCCTTACCAACTTGATCTTGTTGCCCCAGGCAACAAGCATGCATGAACCATTTCACGAAGTATGTGTCCAGATAGCCCAAAGTCTCGATAGTTAGCTCTCTGTCTTCCGGTTAAAAAACAACGTCGATGAAGACGTGTGGGTGCACTATTACACGGTGGGGATTGTAACTTTCCATGAATTTCCCATTTCTCACTCAACGATGTAACTTTTCTTATTTCTTTTTTTAAGGATCGACGAATCAAATGATATTTTTGTTCCAATTTTTGCCTCTTTCTTCTCCCTGTGAATTCCTCCGCTTGATGACTGGGAGGCAAACTCTTTCTTCCCTACTTTGTAATGATATCTATATTCTAAAATTTATACATTTAAATGTTAGTATCTAAACAAATATTTTCTATCTTAATTTCCTAGTTCCAATAGTTTTTGTGATCTAGGAAATTTGTTTGACTATATAAACGTCACATCAATCTCCATTAGGATTAATAAATGTATATAGAAAATCAATCATTTTCTAAATGCAAAGATAAAATGGCTACAAATGAGACCAAATGTATAATTCAAACCAATTGAAATAAGAAAATTGATGGTGAAGTTCTACTAAAACTAAATAAATAAAAATAATAAAAATATAAAGATAAAGTTAGTAAAAATAAAAAATAAAATAATTTATTTGTGCAGATACAATTTAGCTACCGAAGTACCACTTGCTCCTTATTTGAATTTAGTTTCTTATAATTTAACATTTTTCAATTCGATATCTTATTGTTGGTATATGCTAAAATTAACAGATGATAAACTTACACAATATATATGACATTGAGTGAATTGACAAAAAGTTAGAGAATAAACAAATGTTATAAAGAAACGAAAACTTGAAATTTATGCTATTTTTCTTTTTTCTTGAAATTTGGTTGGAGAATTAGAAAATTCTCTATTAAACAACCTTTTCTTCTCTCTAAATTTATGTCACATTAAGTTTATTAAATCAACTTCTAATAAAGTATTAAATTGGAAAATACAAAAATATAGAGCTCTAAATTCGTACAATCAAACTAAAAATAAAATAAAAAAACTCAAACATCATAGCCTAGATATTTAGCCTTTTTATTTTTATTTATTGGGAAAGAAAATGATTAAATGACTGTTAATTTCTTTTTTTTTTTTTTGAGCAAAAATGACTGTTAAATCAAATCATTATCACTTTGTAATGTGTGGAGATGAAGATAAGATAGAGGAGGTGTGGAGGATTAGTCCTCTCTCCTTGTGTCCAAGACAGTGCCACGTGTCACAATCCCGTGACTCCGATGTTCCGACAGTATGGGAGCTGGTCCCACCCGGCTGCATTTTTCCGTGGAGTTTCTCTCTCTGCCCTTGGTGACCCCTCACTAGAAATATCAACGCGAAATGACAGGATTGCCCTCGTCAAATAATTGAATTCCCTCCCAACTTTCTGAAGAACTTCCAAGAAAAATGGCATTTTTGATATGTGTGCCACGTTAATCAGGTCAAAACGGTATGTTCTAGTGTTCTCATCTCCATGATTCAGCAATCTGTCTCACCACGTGTCGAAACTCGATTGGCACAAACTTCCTCTGGTGCACGTGGAGAGGGTACCCTGGGAAATTCACACGACCGTTGTATGGACCATGGACAAATAAAGGTCAAAACTTTGGCCGCAATGGGACTTTTCCCAGCAGTAATTTCATCCACTTACGTCGCTCCTGTAAGCATTATGAATTTATGGGTTCACAGAAGGAGCAGAGGAAAAAAAAGAAAAAGAAAAGGAAAGAACCAAAGAAATAAGAAGACGCCACCAACTACCATTCTTTTCCCTTTGTATTGCAGAAACTGTGATCCTCACAAGATTCTCACATTCATCTCAGAAAGTTTCTGAAACATTGGGTAAAGAAAGGTTTTGCTTCTTCTCTTTGTTGTGGGCTGCCATATTGTTTGTTTGCTTATCAAATAGTATCAAGAGCAAGAGTTTTCTATTTCTGTAGAGTAGAGTCTATGTTTTAAAAGGGGGGTTTTTGGAAAGAGAGGAAGATTGAATCTTCTTTGTTATTGCCCACCATGTGTTCCGTCTTAATGCCTCAGAGACCACCGAGTTTAAACTTGTGACAAAAACAGGGAGTTTTGGCTTTTTTTTGGTCTAGAACTGGCTCTCGGGTTTGGTTTTCCAATGATTTGGGTTGAAAAGTTTCAGTTTGGTTCATTGTTATAGTGGGAAAAATGTTCAGTTAATTCTGGTTTTATTTCTTCTTCTCTGTTTTCTACATGGCAGGGGTGATTGGAGAGGGAAAAATGTCCTCCATAATGCATGGATCACTGCTGCAGACCATAGCAGATTGTGACCAAGGATTGCTGAGAAGGGGGAAGTACCACATGGGCAACACCCATCTTCCCAAAGAAAAACATTCTTCTTTGAGGGCAAATAGGAGTGGTAGAAGTAAAGGTATTTGCTGCCAAGACTTGCATATGAGTACCCCTAAGCCAGAGAGACATGAGCCTCCCAATCGACATGGCTCGAGAACGGACGCTGTCCTAAGCCCTGTAATACCTACTACTACCAAAAAGGTTGGCTCATACTCCTCTGGCTTTTGATTTCCCTTTTCATGTCTCAAGTTTTTTGAGGTCATAGTGTTGGACATATCCATATTTTATTTTTATTCTATTTATTTATTTTATTCTACTCAATTAATTTGGTCATTTCTACTCTTCCTAGTAAATAGGAGGGGAGAGGTTGCAATTTGTTAAATCGAGACTCCCTAATAATAGGGGTGCTATCTTATAAAAGGGCAAAATCTGAGAGTCTTATACAAAGTTTTTACATCGAGCTGTTTTTTTTAAACCAAAAGAGTTTGTTATTTAGCACGATGATTTTTGAGCATGCGAGCAATCGAGGACTAGCTAGAGGATTTAGCTGCTACACAAAGCCTCTTGAAGAATTGTTGTACCTTTGAAGTGGGGCATATCTTCTCTGTAGATAGTGTTTATAAACGTGCCTCAATGCATAATTTCCAGGCATTATTATCTTTCTACTTTTTGGTTGTTTTATTAAGTTAATTATATTTCTAAGAAGTACAAACACATACTCGTAAAAGTAGGACACGAAACATTAAGTTTTTATACGTTAAAATATATTAAATATTAAAAAAATATTACTTAAGCAATTAAGAAAAAGTAATTGAGAGGAAAAAAGATAGTTTTTACTGAAAAAAAATATTAGCCTTGAGGAAAAGCAACATAAATAAAGGAAGAGAAAAATGGCCACTTGTTAGTTAGTCATGGGGACACAGGTAGAGAAAAACGGCCACCTGTTAGTACATGGGAGAGAGGTGCTGCATGCAGAAAAATTGCCACTTGTTAGTCATGGAGGAGGGGGTATGTCATGCACTCTTGATCTTTCTCCAGTTTATTTTTGTTCTACTTCTTCTCTTTTTTCTTCTCATAATTCTGTGTTTTTTTTCCCTTTTTTCTGGTTTTTTTTATTCTTCTCCTCCTATTAATTTTCTTCTTCTTTTAACTCATCATCTTCTTCCAACTCTTCTTATACCAAGGCTGCCCTTTTTTTTTCTTTTCTTTCTACTCTTCTTTCTCCTCATCCGTAAGAGAGAAGCCAACATGTCGTGGGTAGCAGAAAAGCCAGAAGAAACCCAAACGCCAAGGGTAGAGCAGGAAAAGATGGAGAAGTTGAACGTGTCGCACACGTGTCCTGTACGTGTCACCCCGTGTCTTTTAATTTAAAAAAAATAATTGAGATACGTATTTGAGCGTGTCGGAAGCGTGTCCGACATCGACACGCCGTGCTTTCTTTTCATATCAAATATTATTCATATCGATTATTTCAGAAATTTTTATTCCAGATGAAAATATTTGGCTCTTATTAGTATGGGACAATTTTGTCAGTCCGCTAAATATTTAACAATCCAGTTTCAAATATTTAAAGATCAAGGACAATGTTTCTCCTTATTAGTAGTAAGGAAAATATTTGACTCCAGGAAATTAAGGAAGAAACTTAGGATTGAAATAGGGGAAAAAAATACCATCCCGACAATATTTCCAAAGGAGTTGCAAATGGATCTGCGGGTTCAACAATTGATGGTTCTAGAACCGTTAAGTCCACAGTTACATACAGTAGTACCTAGAATTATCACTGACTCCTGGAAATTTAGGAACAGGTCCTCAACGTGGCCCAATAAACATTTTGATATCTCCTATTTTCTCTCTTTTTTTCTCCCTCTCCCACAACGTTTTACCTCTTTCATTTTTCTCTTTTTGCATTGCTTCATCATTTTTTTATTTTTTTTATTTTTAAGTATTTTATTTTCATTTTACAAAATAAGTATCTCTCATGATAGGAGGAAAAAAGATAAACGAAAAACATATATATATATTTTTAAAGTTCAACCTCCTACCCTATGTACTTTGCATTGGGAAAAAAGAAAGTTACGACGGAGAGGGAGGATGAGAAAATATAGGAGATATCATATTATTAAAAAAAAATCTTGTCTACCTGTTACTTGACACACGGACTCTTTTCCTATTTCCAACACATAGTTCTATTGATCACTCTAGTGAGTTGTGTTTTTTCAGGGTGCTTGTAATACTCTAGTTAGCTGGTTTTGATCCAATTTCTTATTTGAACAGAGAGTATTCACTTTTGGAAAAGGAAGGAGTGAGGGTAACAAGAGCATGAAGTCCTTGGTAAGTATTTCTTCAACTTCTCAGATTGCTTTTTCATCATAAACTGTTAAGAAATTGAAGCAACTGTGGAGAGGCTTATACTTCAGTTATAAATTCACACTCAAATGCTTGAGCATTTCTAGGGGTCTAACGTATTTAGTGACACCATAATGTTGTCTTAAATTGAACTATTTTTTACAACCATTGAACTCATAACATACTGTTGTGCTACAGTTGGGAGGGAAGGGAGCAAACCTTGCAGAGATGGCGAGCATTGGGTTATCCGTTCCGCCTGGACTGACCATCTCAACTGAATCATGTCAAGAGTACCAGCAAAATGGAAATAGATTGCCTGATGGCTTGTGGGAAGAGATATTGGAAAGCCTGGAAAGTATTGAAAAGGACATGGGAGCTGTTCTTGGAGATCCATCTAAGCCTCTCCTTCTCTCAGTTCGGTCTGGTGCTGCTGTAAGTCACCTTCCCATTGAATTGAATCAAAATTTATGATGACTATTAATGTCTCTTCTGTTGATGTATAGATCTCAATGCCTGGAATGATGGACACTGTCCTTAACCTTGGATTAAATGATGAAGTCGTTGCTGGCTTGGCTGCAAAAAGTGGAGAGCGTTTTGCTTATGACTCTTATAGACGGTTTCTAGACATGTTTGGAAATGTTGTAAGTGGTTCATAACTATGCCTTTTGTTTTTCTTTCTTCTTATTTGAATCAAGCATTTTAGTTGATGAAAGGTCTGGAACTAACTGCACATTTTTGTTGTGTCCATTTGAAGGTGATGGGCATTTCACATTCATTGTTTGAGAAGAAGTTGGAAATGTTGAAGATTGCAAAAGGCAAGACACTTGATACTGACCTAACCGCCTCTGATCTTAAGGAGCTCGTGGAACAATACAAGGATGTATACATTGAAGCTAAGGGCGAAAAGTTTCCTTCAGGTGCTCTCACTATATTGATTTGTGAACATAAAAGATTAGAGGCTTTCGCTAATCATCCTGTCATTGTCCAATAGTTCATGCCATTTACCCTTTTATCAATCTGCAGACCCAAGAAAACAGTTGCAGTTAGCTGTCGAGGCTGTTTTTGATTCTTGGGATAGCCCAAGGTCCAAGAAGTATCGAAGCATTAATCAAATCACTGGGTTGAAGGGAACCGCTGTGAACATCCAATCCATGGTGTTTGGAAACATGGGACATACCTCTGGGACTGGAGTATTGTTCACTAGAAATCCAAGTACTGGTGAAAAGAAGCTGTATGGAGAGTTCCTCATCAATGCTCAGGTTACATTCACTAGCTTAATCTTTGATCTACTTCCTATGTCTCCCTTATTTTTGTATATGTTCATACTATTAAGATTTGCTGTTGCTTGGCAAATTTTATGCATAACTGAATAAAATGTCTGATGTATCACTCCCCTTTTATTTCATTGATCAGGGTGAGGATGTAGTTGCAGGAATTCGGACGCCTGAAGACTTGGACACCATGAAAAATTGCATGCCTGAAGCTTATAAAGAGCTGGTTGAGAACTGTGAAATTTTAGAGAGACATTACAAAGACATGATGGTATTTTCCTAGTGAGCAGAAACTGCAGTCTGATAGCTATAGATGATGTTTGGTGACTAAGCTGGATTGATTTGAAATTTTTCAGGATATTGAGTTCACAGTCCAAGAGAATAGGCTATGGATGCTGCAATGTCGGTTGGGGAAACGTACAGGTAAAGGTGCCGTGAAGATAGCCGTAGATTTGGTAGATGAAGGACTTGTTGACACTCGTACTGCGATTAAGATGGTCGAACCGCAACATCTCGACCAACTTCTTCATCCTCAGGCATGCTTTTCTTTGTCCTTCCATTTAACAAAGCTAGAACTTTGACATGACTCGCTGTTATCAAAATGAATAAAGAGAAACAACCAAAATCCAAGAAGTTGGGGTCTAAAATATGTCTATACTAGAAGATCTATTTAAACGAATCAGCTATCAGATTTCCCTATCCTGTCACTCACCAACTCCCAAGCACTTACATTCTTTCCGAGTTTCGAGTACGAGGTTGTTTTGTTGTTTGCATATCTAGCTAGATTTATGCATGTTCTTAGAGGTTTCTCTCTAATTGTTTTTGTTGGCTCAGTTTGAAGATCCTTCTGCTTACAAAGACCAAGTAGTTGCAACAGGCTTGCCTGCGTCTCCCGGTGCGGCCGTGGGACAGGTCGTCTTCAGTGCCGATGATGCTGAAGCGTGGCATGCCCAGGGAAAGAGCGTCATCTTGGTATTCCCATATTCATTTTCATAGTTTCATTCTTTATTCAGTTGACAGAGATTCAGTCTCATTCCATCAATCCCATATAGAGTTTTTACTTAATTGCGTCTGAACTCTTTTCCGAAGTTTTAAGTTAAGACGATAAAAATTGAACTAATAGCAATCACCATAATAGCACTCTGAATTCTTTCATGGCTGTGACTTGTAAAGGTAAGGGCAGAGACCAGCCCAGAGGATGTTGGTGGTATGCATGCCGCTGCAGGTATATTGACAGCCAGAGGTGGAATGACATCTCATGCTGCTGTCGTTGCTCGTGGATGGGGAAAATGCTGCATTTCTGGTTGCTCGGATATAAGAGTAAATGACTCCGAGAAGGTACATCATTCGGTTTTTCCTTTTCCTTATCTGATGTGGATACAAAAAACAACAGACGAATGGAAGTGGATTGTGAAGATTACTTCATAACAATGCAGGTTCTTGTCATTGGAGATCTGGTGATCAATGAAGGTGACTGGATATCTCTCAATGGCTCTACTGGTGAAGTGATATTGGGCAAACAACCACTCTCTCCACCAGCTTTAAGTGGGGATCTAGAGATATTTATGTCTTGGGCCGACCAAATAAGACGTCTCAAGGTGCTCGATACGATAGCCTTAACAAACTCCAAATTTATTGTGATTGTCTTTTGTTTATTCCATCTAAATCTTTAATCTTTCTATTTAGTGATTGGTAATTTGATGCTCTGAAGGTTATGGCCAATGCTGACACTCCTGAAGACGCTCTTACCGCTCGCAACAATGGCGCTCAAGGGATCGGCTTGTGCAGGACAGAGCATATGGTAATTTGATCCATTCTATTATCCTATTCATCACAATTATATAGTGGCATCAGTATTCTCACAATCATGAAACTTTCAATTTCATGTGTCCTTTTTCTCATTTATATGTGGATGTTTCAGTTCTTTGCATCTGATGAGAGGATCAAAGCTGTGAGGAAGATGATAATGGCGGCTACAACCGAACAAAGAAAGGCGGCTTTGGACTTGTTACTACCTTATCAACGATCCGACTTTGAGGGAATCTTCCGGGCCATGGATGGTAAACATCCAATCCAGCCTACTGCCTTGTAGCTCCTTGATATGTTATAAATTTTTGGGTAAATTGCACTTGCACAAACCACTACTGTTGTAATTACCCCCTTAACTTTCAATTAGAAAAATTAACCTCTCATAGTAAAAAAATTGGACCACTGCAAATTTCCTTCTTTCTACATTTGAAACATAATTTGAAACATAGGAATAGGAACTGTAAAAAAATTGGACCACTGCAAATTTCCTACTTTCTACATTTGAAACATAATTTGAAACATAGGAATAGGAACTGGACTCGCATATGACAAACCTCAATTATTCATTGGTCGCGGGTCTTTTTCTTAAGCGGCGACCACACCCCACCAATTCTCTTCCTCCTCATCTCTGTCAAACCAATCAAACTGTCAAACCAATCAAAAACATCAGACTGTCATTAACCAAAATCAAACCCTTAAGAAAAAGTTGATTAAAGAGGGAGGTGGTCTTTAGGATCGGTCGTTATCGCCATCATTTGGATGGTGGTTTTAGAAAAGCAGAGGTGTTCGACGAAATGTCAAGCGAACGACCATCATTTGGATGGTGGTTTTAGAGAAGCAAAGGTGTTCGACGAAATGCCAAGCCAAGTAGGGGTGCAAATCTTGAGAATGGAGAGCCTGCTCCGTTTTCCATGTTTCAACGGTAAAAATCAAAATTTGGGGAGAAATAATAGTTTAAATACCTCAACTGGATTTTATTTTTATAATGGAAAACCTTAAAAAGGGTAAAATTTTCTTATTTAGTCAAGTTTGAATATTTAATTTTTATTATTAAATATTCAAGGGTCCAACTTTTTCACTTAAGGGTTTGCAATTAAAAGTTGAGGGATGTAATTACAACATCTACTATACTTTAGGGGTGGTTTGTGCAATTTATTCTAAATTTTTTATTAGGTTCTAGTGATTCCTACTTTGTTACAATTTCAGGTCTGCCAGTGACTATCAGACTGTTGGATCCTCCACTCCATGAATTCCTTCCGGAAGGCAACTTGGAAGACATTGTCAGACGACTAACTGCAGAGACTGGAATGACTGAAGATGAAGTGATCTCTAGAATTGAGAAACTCTCAGAAGTTAACCCGATGCTTGGCTTTCGTGGTTGCAGGTATGATATCAGAACTAGTGAACAAATTTGAATCCAAGCAAAGATATTTGGAAAGAAAGAACATTGCCATTGCATTGGCAACTTTATTTAATAGTTTCTGACTGTGCCTGAAAACATAGGCTCGGGATATCGTACCCGGAGCTGACAGAAATGCAAGCACGTGCAATCTTTCAGGCTGCCATCTCAATGTGCAATCAGGGAGTTAAAGTATTTCCTGAGATAATGGTTCCATTGGTCGGAACACCACAAGTATGAGCTGCTTCTTTCTGCCATTAATGTTCTAATCAACATACAAGCTTCTTTCTCCACTGATAATATGAAAATGTATCAGAAAGAGATCTCTGTACAATAATGACATTCTTGATGGCAGGAGCTTGGACATCAAGTCAGCTCGATTCGTGGTGTTGCCGAGAAGGTTTTCTCCGAGATGGGTTCCTCCTTAAATTACAAAGTGGGAACCATGATTGAAATTCCTAGAGCTGCTCTGGTTGCAGATGAGGTATTCATAAAATGTGCAAATTTCCCCCTTCGCATTCTAGTTCTTGTAATACTGTTTTTAATGCGAAGATAGTGTAACCGACGTAGAATTAGAGAAATCAAATGGAAAAGTGAAAGATTTTGAACTGAAGTATGACTACATAGTATCAAAATGGATGAAAGTAGTAGAAGGACTAAAAAGCTAAACAAAATACCACAAGGGTGTAGTAGCAAAATGGAAGAATATCTGAATAAGAAGTGCTGCTGTTTCCTGTTTGATTGGCAGATTGCAAAGGAAGCAGAGTTCTTCTCATTTGGGACCAATGATCTTACACAAATGACCTTTGGGTACAGTAGAGATGATGTGGGCAAGTTTCTTCCTATTTATATATCCAAAGGAATTCTGCAAAATGACCCTTTTGAGGTCAGTGCCATTTTTCAAAAATCATTGAAGAGAAGTTAGTTTTACAAATGAATTGAATGTATATTTGCTTGGTGGCAGGTGCTTGACCAGAAAGGAGTTGGGCAGCTGATCAAGCTGGCTACCGAAAAAGGGAGGGCAGCCAGGCCTAGTTTGAAGGTAATTTTTTCATAAAGTATACAATATTAATTATTTTTTTTTTGAAAAAAGTTATTTGAAAAAATTAGGTTGTTTGACATTTAGATTTTGTGGTAGTTGTGAAGAAAAAATGAAAGTTCGACATGATATCATATGAAATCCTCTCTTGAAAATATGATTTAGAAAAGTTGAAATAATTTTTAGAATAAGTTTTCAAACCATTTTTTTAAAAGTTTAAATACTTGTCTAGTCCTAATACTTTTAGCTGGTCCCTATATTTTTAAAGTATTCAATTAAGTTTTTGTAAAGCTGTACTTTTCGTTTTATTTCGTTTTATTCCAGTATTTTTAAAAAGTTGATCAATTTGGTCCATATTTACAAAATTTTAATACAAATTTCATATCAACGAAAACTCTTTAATACTAATTTATGACTACATTTCAAAAAATTTAGCGAGGAAAATGTCGTGCAAAATTATGAGTGAAAAAATGACATAAAAATGAAAATGAAGAGACCAAAATAATCAATTTTTAAAAGTATAGGAACTTGGTGCGAACAAAAGTTGGAAATATGGTAATGAACCAAAGTTGAAAGTACATGAACTAAAATAGTATAGTACTATTTGATATTTGATATTGATGAGAAAGAGGATGAATAACAGGTTGGAATTTGTGGAGAGCATGGTGGAGAGCCTTCATCTGTTAGATTCTTTGCAGAGGCTGGACTTGACTATGTTTCATGTTCTCCTTTCAGGTATGTTCTTCTTTATCTTTATGAACATTCTTCTCCAATCCAACATCTCGGGAAGGCTAATATCGATTTTACCGCTTATTAAATATTAGAGTTCAATGAAACTAAAACTGGAAGAAACTTGTATCTCACAGAGTTCCAGTTGCAAGATTGGCTGCAGCCCAAGTTGCAGCATAAGAGTGGAAGAGAGAGGGAGGTCAAAATGGGAAATAGGTTTGTGGATTTGTAAATTAAAATTGGTGGGTAGAGGATATAAATGTTGTATAAATGAATAACTCTCTTGTTTAAATGTGTAGAAATATATATTGTATACAAAGAACAAAGGAATATCAAATACTGTATATATATAATAAATGGGAAAGAAAGTTTTCATTGGTTCTGAAATATTGTTTGCTCCAAATAATTGAGAGATAAAAATTATCATCAGGTGGATTGGAAGTCACTTGTAAAGTTTTTTTAAAATTTGAATACGGTACAATGTCATACTTAAAATTGAGATTGATTAAATTTATGATATAACTTAAAATAAGCTGTTAATTAGCCTTAGTTATTCAAATTCTATGTTTTTTTTAATATAAATTTATTGTTATATTGATGACAGTGTCATGTTGAAATTGTAATGACAGTGTTACGTGATATAAAAATAATATAAAAGGTACAGAAATCAAAGTGGTATTTCTTTTAACTTTTTATTAATGGAAACAGTTAATATGTCCAAAGGAAAAGGACTAGATAAAGAAAGGAACACTTAATTGATTAGTTTGATTTTTTTAACTTTTTATTAATGGGACGTGAGCATATTAACTAGGACTATATAAAGGACGGAACACTTGATTGATTAGATTATATATATGGTCATACACGTAAAGGTATTCAAATTTGTAAGTAACTTTTAAGGTATTCAAATTTTTACCTCATAATTAAATATTAAATCCAACTCATATTAGATGCTACCATTCAAATTACGCTAATTTAAAGTAAATAATTAGAGTTCGTTTGGTAATATTCATGTTTCTTGTTCATCATTTTCAATTTTTTTTTTTAAGAAATTGAAGTATTTTGCAACTATATTTTTTTTTCTCTTTTATTTTATTTGGGTAACATTCTAGTTTCGAAAACAACGTAGATAAATTTATTCTTTCTTATTCTAATTTTCAATTTATTTCAAAATATAAATTCAGAAAATATAATTTGAATTTTTTTTCTTTATAAATTCTCTTATAGTTGATATTTCCATTCCCATTGAATTGGGACATCGACGTTTCATACATACAAGATATGTATTATTCTACATCTATTAGGCACGTATTGAAAGGAATCCAGCCGACGGTTGGCGGAACTGGGAACTGGGAACTGGGAACCGGGAACCGCTCCTTCTCCTTCTTCTGCAACGGGCCGCCGCCATTGGAGTTGCAGACTGTCGAAACCCTAAAATCCGCAAATCCCATCACATTCTTTAGCTTCTCTTCAATCGATTAATGGCCTCTGAATTCGAATTCGGGATCCAGAGCTACGTTGTGGTGCATAACATAGCTAAAAGGCACAACATTGGCACATTGGCGCGAAGCGCCACCGCCTTCGGCGTATCGGAGCTTATCCTCGTCGGTCGTCGGGACTTCAACGCCTTCGGTAGCCATGGCTCCACTTCCCACCTTCGATTCCGCCATTTCCACTCCCTCCTCGACGCCCAAAACTTCCTCAAGGTTCGCCCCCTACTTTTTTTTTCCTTTCTCGTTCTTCCCTTAGGGTTTGTTTAAAACTTGAATCTCCTTCTTCTGTAGGAGAAGGATTGCGATATCTGTGGCGTGGAGATCACTGAAAACGCCGTGGCTGTGAATCAGCATCCTTTCAGGAAGAGCACCGCTTTTCTTCTCGGCAACGAGGTTGGTTCTTTGCATATTATGGGCTCGTCACTGATCGCTACATGCTTGTATTGAGATTCCCTTTTTTAGTACATTAATTTTCGCCAAGTAAAAGGAGTAATTACTTAATAGTTAATACATTGTCTCTGTTGTTGATCTATTTCCAGGGAATGTCTGTTCGTTATAACTTGTAATGGTTGAATTGATGGTGTTGTTTTCTATATGCTGCGTTGCGAGTCAGTTAACAAGTTCCTTTTTAGTTCCATTGATACATATTAGTTGTTGTCTCTCGGATTCGGCCTTGGGGTGGGCGAAATGCATCAAATTAGTGGAGCGAGCCATAAGCATCATGTGAGGAGTGAGGACATGACATCCTGGTTGTAATTGTAATGCATTATTTTTCTCCTTTGATGTAATGAGATTAGGACTTAACATAGAGTTATAGATCTCTTGCTTCGTTGTACGATCCATGTATATGTGATGTTCTGGGGACTGAGTTGTAACATGATCATCAGTGCTGGGCTGGACCAGAATCATTTGGAAATAATTCTACTACACTATTTTCAGCGTCGAGCCACCCTTTTGATGGTTCTATGGATGTTGTTTCTAGGGAACAGGGCTTTCTGCTAAAGAGTGTGCGATCTGCGACTTCTTCATTTACATCCCACAGTATGGTGTTGGCACTGCTTCTTTGAATGTTACTGTTGCTGCTTCCATTGTCCTACATCATTTTGGTGGTAATTGATTCAGACCTGTTGCATTTTTATGGCCCCCTTTTGAGTTTCTTTTGCTTGCTTATCTTATGTATATCACCTATCGGGATTACTAGTCTTTCTCAATATTGCTTATTCATGCAATAACTTTGGTTTTGATGCAAAACCATGGGCAGTTATCTGATCTAATTATTTTTACCCCTTTCTTGAGTCATGTATAAGTTCTTTATAATGGGAAATGATCCCTTCAAACTGACACTAGGGAAAATGTCTCCTCGGAATTAATATGACTCAGTTGAATGATGTGATAGTTTGTAATGGCTCTCGTGGTTAATATTGATAAATCATCCTTTCATAATATTAAAACAACTTGAGCGTGTTTGGGAGCTGAACTGCTTTTGATAGCGAAACTGTTTTTAAGAATAGTGATAGGGGTATTTATGCATATGTATTCACATGCTCGTATAGTTGTACTAACAAAACATGCCACAAGATAAGAAAAAACAACTTTTAAAAATGTGTTATTACTAAATTTCACTTTTAAAAACAAAAAAGGATTTTGAAACAGCTTCCAGATTTAGCTATATCTTCTATTTCTATTTTAGGATCTTTCTAGTTTCTAGCTTGCATATGTTGAGGTTCAAGTAAAAATCAGGTTAGTTACGTTTTATTTGATAAACTGGAATTGATATTTGTCTCCTTTTCTAGATGTTGTAAACTTCTCATGGATTGTTTTCTTCAGTTTGGGCAGGATTTCCTGAGAGATGTCGTGATGGTAACAAGTTTATTGTGGCCGAAAGACCGGTAAAACAGGTCAAACGGAATTATTGCGCTGAAACTGCTGAATCTATTATTGAAGAGCGGAAGTCCAGGAGGGAGAATGCTTCTAAAGGCTTCTTTGATGAGGGAATGATTGATGATTCAACATCCAACCTTCTTGATACATTGTTTATTGACGAATGATTGGATTTGGAGATGGGAATCGCTATTCTATTATCACATGCATCCAGAACCAACCGGCAGTCTACACGATCATTGTAGCTTAATTCCATTGCTGAAGGCATTCACTGCAGGAACCTGTTCTGGAGAGAAAAGAGATCTCCTCCATCTTTGTCTTTTTTTTTAATCCTTCTCTTTCATTTTCCTAGAAAGTTTGTGGAATTATATTTAGTTGATTAATTAGCTTGATGGTTGACTTGCCAAACAAAACATGGCCACCACATGGGTAGGGCTGATTGAGGAAATGTAGGGCTGATAGTGCTCATCTTTTTGTCAAAAAACACCATGTACATGTAACATGATATGCATAGGAAATATCAGTTTTTCTTTTTTCTAATGTCTGTTTACATCTCTGTCTCTCTCCCCACCCTGACACCGACCCTGACCTCGACCTCTCTACGTCTACCGTTTTTACTTTCCATTACATTAGGGTGGGGACCCAGAACAACCACCTTGAGAAACTATAAGATTTGATCAACTTGGCTCTTGGTCGCCAGAAATCAAAGCAAGCATCTTTTACTAAAGATGGTGAAAAATGAGAGAAATCAAAGTCAACTCAGAAGTGATGTAATCTTTGAAACTCTCTGTTCTGTTGTACCTACCAAGGAAAACTGCACCACAGCTAAACTCAGATTGGGAAGGCAATCAAAAAGTCTTGTCTCACATCATAGTGATTCTTTCTGGAACAGTGAGTTTTGTCATTCTCAAGTCCAATTGGAAGTTATTTTTCTAAGTTCAGTGGAAGTGGTTGGTTCCCTTTTGGTTTATTTGGAAAAAGGAGCTCAACAATACTGCATCTTTGTCAATCTTCTTCTCAAGTAATGGAGTGGTTGATCCTTGTCCTTATGTTATATATCTCTCTCTTCACCACACTGTAATTCCTACCTTTTAGTTGGGCTGTTGGTGGCACCTCCATTGAATTCACACATGACTTGCTGTTGTCTTAAAGATCAGAGGTGAAACTTAACCGGTCCCCAGACTATATAACGGAGTTTCGAAATCGTTACTTACATCGAAAGAATTGAGGGGTCCTTTGTTTAGCTGAAATGTTGAGGATTCTGAGGAGTGAACTCCGGCGTCTCTGCTCAAGGATATGGTGGCTGATATGGAAGCATCCGAAGCGCAGAGTTATAGTCAAAAGGTTTGGGAAGATGAATGTGAAACATCGACGAACGGGCAGACCGGGTAAAAATAAATCCAGAGTCTATACGAAGAGCCAGTTGGGTGATTCTGTCACCGAAAGGCCATTTCGTGTTGCCACATTCAATGTCGCCATGTTCTCTCTCGCACCTGCTGTTCCAACTGCAGATAAACCAGCAGTGTTTGGCTTTGGTAGAAAGGAATGCAATTTCAGAAGCCCCGTGAGTCGTTCCCCAAAGAGCATACTCAAGCAATCTCCATTGAACACAGCATTGTGCAATGCTGAATCTCTCTCCAGATCCAAGCCAAAAGTTTCCATTAATCTTCCTGACAACGAGATTTCATTAGCAAACAAGTTGCCTGCCTCCATGGAAGACGAGACACCGAAGACGAACGACAAAAGGTACTTCAAAAGCCAAGTCCCGGTAAGATCTCCTGTGTGCTTTCCTTTCTCCATAGCTAATTGGCAGTGTGAAGACCAGTTGACAAGCAGCAGAACCATCCTAGAGGTTCTTAAAGAGGCAGATGCTGATATATTGGCTCTACAAGATGTGAAGGCTGAGGAAGCAAAAGGCATGAAGCCTCTATCTGATTTAGCAGCTGCTTTAGGGATGCATTATGTATTTGCTGAGAGCTGGGCTCCTGAGTATGGAAATGCTGTTCTATCCAAATGGCCAATAAAAAGATGGAAAGTTCAGAAGATTGCTGATGATGATGATTTCAGGTTTTTCATTCTCTACTCATTACTAGAATTTCGACTGGAAAATCATCATAATCTTTCTCCTTTCGTTTTCTATCTTCAGTTTGTGTTTTTCACCTTCTGGGACATGGTAGGAACGCTTAACTGATGGATTTAGTTCGATGTGAATCTCAGAAACTTGCTAAAGGTTGCAATCGACGTGCCGGGGACGGGAGAAGTGAACATCTACTGCACTCAACTTGACCATCTAGATGAGAACTGGAGGATGAGGCAGATAAATGCAATAACAAAATCAGTCGATTGTCCCCACATCTTGTTGGGCGGTCTCAATTCGTTGGAGAGATCCGATTACTCGCCTGAAAGATGGACCGACATCATCGAGGTAAACTCTGCACTTGAAACGAAACAATCAATATTCCAACCCTCTGAGATGCTGATAAATTCAAGCTTTTTCCAATGCAGTACTACGAGAAGGTCGGGAAGCCGAGTCCGAAGGTGGAAGTGATGAAGTTTTTGAAGGGAAAAGGCTACATAGATTCAAAAGACTATGCAGGAGATTGTGTGCCAGTGGTGATCATGGCCAAGGGCCAAAGTATGAGACATTGCCTACGCTCATCAACCATTTCTCTTCTGAAGAAAACAAAAACTTAGCTAATTCCATATATTTTGCATCACAGATGTGCAGGGGACCTGCAAATACGGCACAAGAGTCGACTATATCTTAGCTTCACAGGACTCGACGTTCAAATTCATCCCGGGGTCGTACTCGGTCGTATCGTCTAAAGGTACTTCCGACCACCACATCGTCAAGGCAGAATTCATAAGAATGGGACAGAAAACAAGCAGAGGGCAGAAGGATTTAAAGCAAAGAATTGTAAGGTTGACTCAAACATGTTCTTCAATAGGGATGTCCTTGGTGCATCCTTAGATACCTTTTGCTGACTTCTGATTTCAATACAGAATCCTAAATTTACCCATATACAGAAATTTATCAGTTTGTATAATTTTAAAAGCAGTTTCTGGTATAAAAAAAAACGAATTATTTTGTACTAATATTAAAAGTCTCAACTGTTTTCTCCAATTTTTTTTATTACAACATACTGGAGTCGAGGATCGAACTTGCAACTTCTTAATTGGAGATATATGTCAATTATCACTGAGCTAGGCTCGATTTAACCTGTTTTCTCCAATTTTTTCTTTACTTAGTTAAATAAAATATATTAAAAATGTATCACCTATCAAGTTCAATTATATTATAGAGACTGATTTGAAACTTTTAAAACCAAATATGAGAGTGATTGAATTAAAAATTTTAAAACTCAATTTATAATTTAACCAAAAATATATATACTATCAAACGAGAATGAGTCAGATCTTTAAATTAATTATTGTTTTAATTTAAATAGTAACAATTAAATTAAAATATATATTTAAAAGAATGTAGTATATAATATAAACTAAAAAGGGCTAAAAAGGAAATAATCTTTTTTTTCCTTTAAGCTGCTTTTTAATATTTCATAGATGGTTCTCTTTATTATATTATAGATCGATTTAAAATAGAGATAATATCTTGGAGGGCTATTTTTAATTCTTAATTTCATAAATGTCTTTAATTTTCAAAATTTACATTTCTAGATTTTTTCACGTAGGATTTTATTCTAATACCGTTTCTATCCTTATTTATTGCTTTTTATTTTATTATAATTTTAAAATTTAAAAGATTTGAATCTTTCATTTGTTATTATATTCATTTAATTATTGTGGCCCCGTTCAATTTTTCAACCTAAATTCCTCAAATCTCTCCCTCAAAAAAGATTTTATTCTCTCACCAATTAAGAACTTCCAAATTTGTGTGCTTTCTTCTCCAACCTTGATTTTTTTTCTCCGGCGTCTTCTTTTTTTTTCGTGCATACCTTCATCAATGTCGACAACATTGAAGTGCATACCGTCTGTGTACTTCTTCAGAGCTTCCATCAACGATCGATTTTTTCCTTCTTCTTTCCGTCGAGATCTTCTTCTTTCCGTCGTCGAATAGACTTTCCGTCGACCTCGTTCCACGTTTTCGATGCCGTGCAGCGTGCTTCCGTCAACGAGGTATTTATTCCTTCAATTTCCGTCGCCAAATAAACTTTCCGTCGACGTCTTTAAACGTTTCCGACGCCGTTTAGCGTGTTCCTCGTCTCCTGTCCCCTTCTGTTTTTACCATTGATACTTATTAGTCTTCCGTTAAGATTAGTATATATGGGGATATATTTTATGTATGTGTACAGAAAATGGAAGTTCTAAACGTCTCACAGTCTTAGTATTCCTGATTATATTCGTATATATAGGTATATATTGTATATGTKAATATMTYTTATATGTGTRTACATATATCTTATAGTTCTGTAGAAATAGTCCTCCATACCATTTGTAATTATTAGTCTTCCGTTAAGATTGGTATATATGGGGATATATTTTGTTTATGTGTATAGAAAATTGAATTTCTAAATGTCTCATATTCTTAGTATTCCCGATTATATTCGTATATATAGGTATATATTGTATATGTGTATATATCTTATATGTATATATATCTTATAGTTGTATACAAGATATAAACGCATATATCCTATAGTAATGTAGAAAGGGTCCTCCAAAACTGAAGTTTTAAATGTGTCATGGATGAAGCGAAAAAAGTTCTTAGATTTCGAATTTGGGAGATTTTTGGACGGGATTTGGAGATATTTTGGGAGGTTATGATTTCAATTTTGGGGAATTTAGGGTTTTGTTTTTAATGTTTTGGTGTTTTAATTTGTTTTGGAAAGTATCGTTAACGTAAAATTATGGGATCTAAATTATAACCTTCCAATTAATCAATTTTGCATATTAAAATGAATTTAAAATTAATTTGTAAATACAAGAGGCTATTTAAGTAATTTATATGATGGGTACCCTCTTAAATAGGGTTGATACATGACAAATGTGTAAATTGTATACATTCCATCCTTTTATGTAATTAAGATTTTTAAATAGCCCAGTACTAATCCCTTTAAAATATTATCCTCTAATAATATTTTTAACCACGTAGTTATATCTTTGTCTTTTTTACGGTTTTATTTTAAACTTGTAATATTGGATAATTTGGTTAAAAAACATATTTGGTATTCGTACTTTCATTATAGTAACGATTTGGTCTCTATACTTTTAAATTGGTAACAATTTACTCCCTGAACGTTAGTATGTAATAATTTAGTTCATATAATTTAAAATTTATAACAATATAGTCTCTGTCATGAAAAGTCTAATCAAAATTAAATGTCAATTTTTAGCATATAATGATTTAGTCTTTGTAATTTATAAATTAATTTAGTCATTTATTGATTTATTGATCTACATATATAAGAGATTTAACAAAAAAAAATTCACGACAGGGACTAGGCTGTCACAAACCAAAGTACAAAATCTGAATTGTTATTTTAGCAAAAGTACAAATATCAAATGTATTTTTCAACATAAAATTTTTGTTCAAGAAGATTATTAACAAACAATAATATATATATATATATATATATATAAAAATTAACTACCATGTTTAATTTTTACTTTTTATATTTGATTCATGAATTTTTAAACCATATCCTCAAGAATTATTTTCAAATTTTACAAAAATGTCTACAAAATGTAGAGTAAATCACAACTTTTAGTTCCCTAATGTTTGGAATTGTATTTATTTAGTTCTTAGAATTAAAAAAAAATCAATTATGTTTCCAGATTTTTATTTTAATTTTAATAAGAGTGCACAGACAAAAATTCAATAAGAGAAGCAAGCAAGATATATTTCAAATTTTTTTTTTGTTCTAATATATTTAGTTGACTCAATTCCTTGTGTCAAATTAATCTAATTAGCATACTACATGAGCAAAATAATATTAACTTGGTAGGAAATTATTAGAATCTAATCTAGACTATAAATGAAACTTTTTGAAGTTCAAGAATTAAATAAAACTAATATTAAAAGTTTCAACTAAATTGATAAAATAGCCTGAAAAAGTATTTAATTCATTTAAAAATAGCCCGTGAATTTCCGGCTGAGGGATCTCTGTCGCGTGACGTTACATTTTCTTTGCCCTTTTAAGTAAATTCACGAAATCCTTGCCACTGTTCCAAAAGCTCAACTGCACAATTTTTTATTTTTTTTTTCAATTAGTCTAAATCTTGTCCGTGGATTTATTCTATTCTAGTATTTAAAATTTTTAAACATTAAATTTTCAACATATCTATTAATAATTTTGTTTTCGGTCTGAAATTTTAGTTCATTTCTTCAGTTTTGATTCATTTTAGTCTTTATACTTTTAAATGTTTTATTTAGTTCCTATACTTTTAAAAAGCGATAACTTTGGTTGTAAAATTTCGAAATAAGTCCTACATATAATGTTAACCCTCCAATATAAATTCATAGTTACATTTCAATAAATATATTGGGTGTAGTATCATGTTGAAATTATAGTTAAAAAATGATTAAAAATAAAATCAATGAACAAAAATAGTCACTTTTTAAAAAAACGTGAACCAAATCAAACATTTTGAAAGTACATGGACTAAAATGAACAAAAATGATCATTTTCAAAATACGGAGATTAACATGAACCAAAGTTCAAACTACGGACCAAAATAGTATTTTTAAATTTTATTTTTTGCCACCTAAAATTCGCTCAATCAATACATATTTCAATTTATTTATATAATTTCAATACATACACATTATCAGTACATTAACAAACATATTGAATAGTGAATTATCCATTTATTAAATAACTAATAGAAAAGTAATGACAAGAACTAAAGTAGTTTATTTAATTTTTTTTTTTGAAGATAAATAGTTTATTTAAGCTAAGCAGTAGGATAAACATCTTGAAAGTTTTTTTTTTAAATACAATATGCGGGGTGGAAGATGAAACTCACAATGTCTTAATTGGAGATATATGTCAGTTATCATTGTCTTATGCTTATGTTGACAAATATTTTAAAGTTAATTGATCATAAAAAATAAAATTGAAAGTATCAAGTATTTTATTTCATTTGCACATTAATTTAAACAATTACATTAAGTTATAGTAAAAATAATTGATTGAAAATATATTGAATAAAACATTTGAAAATGACTAAACATTTCTATTACCTATTATTTTTATACTTCAATTAGAAACTTTTTTTTTGTTAATATAAAATTTGTTTTTTATTTTTTATTTTTAAAAATTTACGTTGACTTGTGTAGGTTCGTTATGCGTTTGGCCGTTTAAATTTGCAAAACGCAATCTTTCCTCATTAAAGGGACTTTTCTTTTTCTTTTTCCGTCTTTTCAAAATTAAATCACGTGGAAAATATATTATCTCTTGAATTTTTTTTACTATATTTATATATATAACTAGTATATTTTTTAATACTAAAATTTAATTTTTATCTAATGTATTTGATTATTTTTCTTTGTCAATTACTACTGAACTATTTGGTTTATGAGTTTATACGAATTCCTTTTGTTTAACTTTTGTACTTCCAAAAATTTTCGATAATTTCTTTTTTTCTTCAAAATCCTTTATTATTATTATTATTATTTTTAGTTAACCTGATGTTCACACGGCTAAATATCAAAATCTATTTAAGTATCTAAAGATGGAAGGAAAATACTTTCTTACTTACTAGTCAGAATTGTCATTAAATTATTGAAAAATAAAAGAGAGGAATATTATTTAAAAAAAAAAAAGAAAAGAAAGAGAAGATATACACTTTTTAGCTATAAACATTTTTATGATGATGGACTACAAAAATTTTACTGGCAAGAAAAAGCATTCTAAGAAAAAGAGTTGATGTTCAACATCTATTTTGAGCTAAATTACTAACTACCATTAGATTATTGACATAATATTTTACCAAAAAAGAATTAATAATAATAAGTTGACAGTTTTTCAACGAAATCATCATATAGATAGCACTAATGAGTCAATGCTTAAATATTGTTCCTTCGAAAGAACTCTTCGTTTTTTTTACCTCAACAATATTTTTTATTTAATTCATTTATATTTCTTTCTATTTTAAATTATTACCACGATTTTCCACCACCTTATGAATATATATTAACTCAACCTTGTTACAAGGAAAGTAAGAAATGCCATATATACTAAATTCTACTGAATTAAGTATTATTATTTTTATTTTTATTTAAAGATGCAAATTAATCCAATATCCACATTCCTCCGCAGCTTTTTGTTTTTCACCTCTTGGAAAAAAGTTATTTAAATTCTTAAGCAAATTTCAAAATAACAATAATAATAAAACTCTGGAAAAATATGTTCTTTTCTTTTTAATTTAAAATGTATACAAAATCTATATAGGAATAGTATAACTCTCACAATTATATTTTGGAAAAAACTTGGCCACGTAGAGTTAACGAGTAACTCTCCTTAATACCATTAAATATTTGACAACTCATTATTTTTTTTTAATTTTTTAATTTATGTATTTTTCTCTCTTAGTTGTCAAATATTTAATGGTATTAATGAGAAAGTTCATCCAAGTTTTTTTCTTATACTTTTAATTTTATAACTACCTGACACATATTTTGGCGAGTTCAAATATTTGTACTAAAAAAATGAGTTTCTGTTATTAGTATCGATGACTGATGGAAATGGAGGAATAGAGATGTTATATTTCATTCATAAATTCATGATCTTCTCGTTTGGTCCAGCGAATTAATATTTCTACATTTAATTTTTGAAAATATTGAATGAAAAATATAATAGTTATTGAAGAGAGAAAAGGTAATGGGGCTGCTCTTTTGGGAGAGGAGCACAACACCTGGTTGGAGGAGTGGCCGCACGAAGCCACGGATTTATAAAATTAAAAAAAACAAAAACAATTTTATAACCTTTTCTTCATTATTTATACCTCCAAACTGAACCCAAAAAATAAAAATAAAAATAAAAACCAGCCGTCGTAGCTCCTCCAAATGGGCACCTCCGGGAAGCAAAAAACCCTGACCGGCGCCGGCGACTTAATCCGGATTCTCCCGACCGGCACCGTGTTCCTGTTCCAATTCCTGAGCCCGGTCCTGACCAACAGCGGCCACTGCGAACCCTTCAACAGAACCGTCTCCCTCGTTTTCATCCTCCTCTGCGGCTTCTCCTGCTTCCTCTCCTCCTTCACCGACTCCTATGTCGCCCACGACGGCGCCGTCCACTGGGCCTTCGCCACCCCCGCCGGCCTCTGGCCCGCCCCGGACCCGCACTCGGGCTCCCTCGACCTCTCGGCCTACGCGCTCCGTGCCGGGGACTTCGTCCACGCCACGCTGTCGGCGCTGGTGTTTGCGGTTCTGGTGGTGCTCGACTCCGACACGGTGCGGTGCCTCTTCCCGGAGGCGGCGGCGGAGGATAAGATGCTGGTGCAGATTCTGCCGCCGGTGGTCGGAGCGGTTTCGAGCGCGGTGTTCGTTATGTTCCCTAATACTCGCCATGGCGTTGGGTATCATTCCACTGCAACTTCCCTCGGAGTTCAAAAGGCTGCCATAAGCTAAAAAATTAATTAAAGCTAATAATGAAAAATTTGGTCATAATTTTATCTGTTTTAATTTTTTTTTAATTCTCAAATTGTATCATATGTATTCATAATTTCTATTAGTGAGTTTGATTCTGACTAAAAAAGATTATGAATTCTAATTTATTATCCTTAATTTGCTGTAAAAAAAAATAATATTAAAATTTGTTGACAATAGGCCGGTATGCTCAAATTAGACATTAAATTATTGTTTTACTGGTGTATTTGAATTTTGAACCAACAATCATGTCTTTAAACTCAACTTTATCTTTTGACATATTTATGCATTCAAATATTATTCTATAATATATATTAGAATATATTAAACCTTTATTAATTTATGGAACTTTAAGAAAGACGTCTAAATTGAATTTTTTTGTATTTTTGTATTATGTATATATTTTTTTAGATGTCTAAATAGATCTAAACTAGTATCTAAATTGAAATGTAATAATTTTATATTATTTTTTTAGAGATTGGACTTAGAGATGATAAAAACTAGGTGACATCTTCCATCTTCCTTAACATTTAAGGATCTGTTCCAAATCCAAATTTGGAATTGACTTCTCATTCATAATTTTAATAGAAGGAAGAAATAGATCTAAAAGGAAGGTTCCCTTTGTTTAAGGTCTAGAAGTCACGTAAATTAACTAATTGGATAGCAACAAACAACGATGAGTGAGAGAGAAGAATGTTTTTCACTCTAAGTTAGGCAATAGTAATCAATCTTTACTCTTAATATTTCTTTCCAATTTGGTAAATGTTATAATTCAATAAAAGAAAAAAAAAACAGCTTTAAAATCTTCTCAAACTCGCTTAAATTTCAACTAAAATCAAGCTCCAATTAATGAATGCCATGAAACAGAGAACTTTCTTCTCTATTTTTTTCTTTAAAATACATTTTTACGAATAATACTTTATATAAAGAACCAACCCAATTAAAATTCCGTAATTTATTTTTTTTAATATCCCATAAATAAACATTTTTCTTTCTCGAGTTTATGAAAGTACATATAATTTAGACGTCCAATTCCAAACATTTCTTTGAACTTCCCAGTGGCACATAACACGGCGGAGGAGAGACGGCCGACGAAAATCTCAGGCCGCTCTTTGAACCGGCGCCGGAGACCGGCCGGAAGTTGCAGAGGATTCATAATACCCAATTCCATGGCGAGTATTAGGGAACATCACAAACACTGCGCTCGAAACCGCGCCGACCACCGGCGGCAGAACCTGAACCAGCATCTTATCCGCCGCAGCGAAACTCGGAAAGAAGCACCGCACCGTATCGGAGTCGAGAACCACCAAAGCCCCAAAGACCAGCGCCGAAAACGTGGCGTGTACGAAATCCCCTGCCCTAAGCTTGTACGGCGACAAGTCCACCGCCTTCGAGTCCGGAGCCGGCCACATTCCGGTGGGCGTCGCGAAGCCGCAGTGGACGGCGCCGTCGTCGCCGGTGTAGGAGTCGGTGAAGGAGGAGAGGAAGCAGGAGAGGCCGCAGAGTGCGATGAGGGCGGCGGAGAGGGATTTGTTGATCGGCTCGCAGTGGCCGCTGTTGGTCAGGACCGGGCTCAGGAATTGGAACAGGAACACGGTGCCGGTGGGCAGGAGGCGGATTAGGTTTCCGGCGCCGGTTAGGGTTTTTTGTGCGGCGGAGGAGGCCATTAATTGAATTGGGGATTTAATCGATTTTCTTGTTCTTGTTCTGGATTTTGATTTTGTTTGCGGCATCGATTGGAGATTTGAGGAGAATTTTGGAGATTTAAATAATGGATTGAAGAAGGGAGGGTTTGGATTGGATTTTGCTTTTACGCAAATATATGAAGAAGACGATGGAGCTTGTTTTGCTTTTACTTGCAGAAAATGTTTTAGAAAAATGGAGGTTTTTTAACTATATATAAAAAAAAATGGGGGATTTTTTAATTATATCAAGAGAAAATGAGATTTGAGAATTGTCTCTCCTTGTGATAAAAGTTTCAAATATAATATTTTAATTAGAGTTATAATATTTATGCACTATTATTAATCATATCCATATTTTACTTACCTTCATTCAAGTTTTGATACGTGGAAGAGAGAAAGGTATACTTCGCGTTTTGATACATAGAAGAGAGTGAGGTATCCCAGCAAAGTGTACCTAATAATTACATAAACATTTTCCATATTGAAAATAGATTTAAATAATTTTAGGTAAGCGTTTAATTGAGTATCTAACTAAAAAAAATATAAAAAAGATGATGATATAATTTTTGAAGTATTTGATGATAGGAGGGAAGGAGGGAGAGAAGAGTAGGTATGACATATAGGCGATGTATAGGGGAAGAAAAGAGTATAGAATAAGAGGAGTAAACAATCGTGTTGATCAATCTAATGTAAAGTGAGGATCCGAACATTTGATTTTTTAGAACATAGGCATAACACCTTAATTTCACCACTTATGTTCATGTTGGCAACCAAAAAGATATAGGAAAATTATTCTTTTGATCTATAAGTTTTCTCCGATAAGTCACTTTAGTTTTTGAGTTTTTAAAATATGCACTTTTAACCTTTGAATTTTAAAGAACGGGTAATTTTAAAGAATTGGTAAGTTTTACATGGAAAAATTTACTTTACGTATTAAAAAAATTTCATATTACTCTGTTTGCTAATTCAGCAACTTTAAAATAGAGTGTGAATCCATAGAACAAAATAATACATCATTCAATGATGCGTCAAAGTGTAAATGAAAGGAGTATGTATTCCCATAGCACTAGAAAAATTGTCGTTTTAAATATGCTCACATGAGTTGGTATATTATATAGTTTATATTATTATGTCTCTCTCCACTCCATCTTAATGTAAAAATAAGAGATTTAGTGAAAAGTTTTCGCATATGTATTTGATAGTAGATTTGAAAATTGAATCTCAACTTAAAAATTATTCAATGTATTTGTAAATGAGTGGTAGTTATTCATTAAATTTTTAGTTCAATCTGGAATAATAATGATTAATTAATTAATTAATATGTTATAAATCTTGTAGAATTATTATTTTACAATATTATATTATTTATAGTGTATTATATTTTACCTTTTTTTTAATTTTAACAACAATGAAATGAGTTTATAATAGTAAGCAGTATATTTTTCAAAATTTTTAATTTTTTTAATGTAATTATTTATTTTAATATTGTAATGGACAGATATTCACTTGATTTAATGAATCTGAAAACAATAAATCACATACCAAATAGGTCCTAATTTTCTAAAAAAAAATATTAATTTCACCTCTTATTCAAGTTCAATTTTAATTTGATTTTTTTTTAAAACTTGAATTTGATTAAATTAGATCTTAGAATAAACTTGATTTAATCCAAATATATCAATTTAAAAATATAAAACAGCCACTTGATTCAAAGTTTTGATTGGATGTCAATAAGTTACCAACATATAGGAGCAGAGATTTATACATTTTGATATGTGATAGACAATTTAACCAATTGAACTATGTTATTTGATATTTTTTATAATTAAATGTTCATTATTATAATCAATCAACTTTTGTGTTTCAAATAAATATGCAAAGAAAAAAATTAATAAAAAAATTTTAAAACGTTTTTAAAATTAAAATTAAAAACACTTAAAACTTGTGCTGTGCAGTTGTCTTTCTCAAGAGAATGGCGAGGGTTTGCGAGGAATGTAAAGGTAACTTAAGACACGGATCGCTCAACCAAAAACGGGCCGTTTATTTGGGCCGGCCCAAATACTACATCGCCACTTGGGTCCATTAAGCTCATTATTGGGCTTGTATCGGTTCTAAATCAGTGGAAATTAAGATAACCTTCTTATTTTTGTATTGTTTTCAATTTCTTATTTCTTGTTTTGTAATAAAAAGGTAGAATTTCGTTTGGTAATTTTTTGCTCTTATTTTTTTTAATTGAAGAAAGAAACATAATCATATTTGGTAACATCTCTCCAATTTTAAATAAGACAAGTAAAAGTTGTAAATGAAAATTAATTTTCCAAAATTTTTATGTTAAATTTATTTTTGATATTTATTAAGTATTTTACAAATAAAATTGATAAAATAATATTTTTATTTATGTTTTTGGAAAAAACTGAAAATTGAAAACATAAACAAGATATTGTTATTTCTAAAATTTATAATACACCATTTTGAGAACATTTATCAACAATAAGAAAAAGAAAACAAAAATAAAAAAATTAGCAAATGTACCTTAAAAAAAATAAATATAAATAAAAAAATAAGAAATAAAAAACATTATAAAATAGATCCATATAGTTTAGTTTTGAGTATTTGCTAATTGTTAAGATATTATTTAATTTTTCTAAATCTCGCACTCTCTTTTTTGCCATTTATTTGCAACATTATGTAAATCAACCAAAATTTATTTATAGGCATGTCATAATAAACATGTTAACATTAACCAGCTAAATACGACGATAATTTAGGACATATTTGACTTTTAAAGTTAAAAGTTTGGAGACAAAATAAGTGTAATTATTAAAGTTTTGAGATTAAATTTTATAATTAAACTATAAACAAATTTACATACCAAAAACCACATCGATTTCAACTATAAATTATATAAATTCAAATAAATAAAAATCTCCAGAGAGATTTCTTGGATTTGCCTTGTTTCCCAACATGAAAAAAAAAACCAAACAAACAAAAGATAATAATCAATATTTATCAACATTATATTTATTATTTTATTCGACTCATTTGGATCAATTTGAAAATGATCTATTTTACGGCCTAAACCTTAAAAAATATCAGCTTCATTCATGAAGTTCAAATTTTTTATTTCAACTTTGAGAAAACAGTCCTATGATAGTTATTATTATTACATCGCCGATTTTCATAGATTGGATTAGGTTGAGATATCTTTTAGACTCAACTCAATTATTCGGATGGTAAATTTCTTCCACTAAAACTACTTTTATTAAATAATAGACCCAACCCAACACAACCATGAATATTTGGATTGGGTTGGTTCGAATTATTGAGGTTAATTATTCAAAGTATTGTATAATACAAAAAAATGATAATATTAAATTCTTTTTATATATTGTCTCAAAATTCGTAAGTCGATTTTATTTATATGGGAAAAGAACACTAAAAAAAACTCAAAATTTTTGTTTTTAAAAGTCGTCGTAGAATAAATAATCCATAAAAATTATTGAATGAAATAAAATTAAAATAAGTATAACTAAATATATTTTTTATTGTTTTAGAATTAATAACAAATTCCGATTGGTTCATTTTAGGCGAACCCTTCAACCAATCCAACCCATACAATTTCATTTATTTGAAACTAACACATATTTTGATTGAATTAGATTTTGTTGATTAGTTTTTTTAAGTCATCAAATTTTTTGAACACCCCTAATATTACCTAATATTTATCTCAATCAGTCTATGTAGTTCTAATATATGTCCGTAGCAGCACGTTAGAGTTTAGATTTTGAAAACTCACAATTAACATATGCGAAATTCAAATCTCATGAACATTTATCCTAAGTTTATTTAAGCCTATAATTTAATTACCAATCAACCTTTTTCTTCAAAAAAAACTTACCAATCAAACCTAACCGAGTAAAAAAAAACATCTATTTTCATTTCACAAGTGATAGCTACATCCCTTGAACTAAGAAAAAAAAATCTAAGGATTTAATTTTTTGAAAATCGAAATTAAAAACTAAAATTATTAGTGATATAGTAAAAATATTTTTTCTTTCCCCAATCATTTAAGTGAGATTTATGCAGAGAAACAAACAGAGCCAGCCAAGCCCAGAGCTGAAGAATCAGCGAAGGCCCACGCGCCGCGACTGAGAATGAGAAGAACTCGCGTTCCACACCACTTGTTTCAATTTCTAATGACACTCAAAATTCTTCACTCTCCTTTTCCCCAATTCTCTCCCTCTCTCTCTCTCTCTCATCTTCCCAATTTGTCTTTCTCCTCCGCTCTGTTACTGTTGATGATTCATCGCATGCTTTCGTACAAGGGATTCATACGAATGGGGGACGAGAATCAGAAGGGCATGAATTGAAGTTCGAAGGAGAAGCTACGGTGGAAGATGCAAGGGAAAGCATGTGGCTGTTCCAGCTTCGATCTTCCTGATGGTGTCTTGAAAGTGTTGCCGTCTGATCCTTTTGAACAGCTCGATGTGGCCCGCAAAATCACTTCCATCGCCCTCTCAACGCGCGTCTCCTTGCTCGAATCAGAGTCCTCTGTTCTGCGCTCTAAACTTGCCGAGAAGGAGGACATCATTGCCGACCTTCGCTTCCAGATCGAATCACTTGACGCTTCGCTCTCGGAGACCGCCGATAAACTCGTCCGCGCCGATGAGGAGAATGTTGGGATTGGGAGCCGTTTGAATTCAATCTTGTTTTGTGGAATTGGGTTCGTTTTTTTTTATTTGTTCCGTTTGGTTTGGTGTTGCAGGAGAGCTTGGAGATGGAGAATGCCTCGTTGTCCAATACTGTGAAGAAGCTAAGCAGAGATGTTGCGAAGGTACCATTAAAATGCTTCATTCTCTGTTGTTTTAATTGAATTCCTATCCAGTTTGGTGAATTATTATGATGCTTTTTCTGAAAATGGACTGCCTCTTTCTCTTTCTCTTTCTAGTTGGAGGTGTTCAGAAAGACGTTAATGGAATCACTTCAGGAGGAGGGAGATAGCCCTGTAAGAAGGAAAAGAAAAGAAAAAAATTATAATCAGTTTTGAAAGATTTCTCGAGCTTGTTTAAACAGGGTTCTGTTAGGCGGATGTTGGTTTATGTGTTTTTTCTTTTGTGCTGTTATTGGGTTTGATAATGCCACAGGCAGAAGTTCCAGAAGTTGTTGCTAAGATACAGAGCCAAGCAAATATCTCTACTGTTTCTCAGATTGAAGGTCTTTTTAACTTTCATATATTTACGGTTCCTTGTCTATGTTTTTCCATCCATTGATTGGGGTCAGGGGGGTCCCTTTTGTTTGTGATGTTGATGTAAACTTGTTCATGTAGCCATTGCATCTCTTCTGCCCACTGTCTGAGTTTTGCATTTACTTGTGTTTTGAGACAAATGCTTGTCTTCTGTATAATCTTTGACTAGTACAGAAAATTGTCTCTTTCAGAGGAGGATTCATCCTTGGCATCCTCTAGATACTCGTCAATTCAGAGCCAGACTTCTGAAGTAGAAAATTCATTAGCAGAGGATCGTGATTCTGATGGTAAGGAGAACTGTAGAAGTTGATTTTACATGTTAACTACTGATTTTGACTATGGGTGATTGTAGTTGCTTCCATAATCCATAGAGTGGAAGAAGAATTGATATCAGTGAACTTTTTTGCAAAGATTAGAAGACTGGACTTGTAATTTTACTTCTTTCTTGTAGGCATCCGACCTCGTATTGCGCCTGGCCTCCTGGTAGCGTTCCAGACAAGTTCACCTCGGCTTACCCCCCATGGCTCTCCTCCTGTACTATCAGCATCAGGATCTCCAAATAGAACATCTAGACCTGTTTCACCGAGGCGGCATTCAATGTCGTCTTCAACCTCCAAGAACATTTTTGAAGATAGATCTTCAGTATATTCTTCTGCACCCTCGAGCCATCATGGCTCAATTTCCTCCGATAAAGGTTTGTGGGGTTGCATTGCCTATAAAAATTTGCTTCTATTAAGAACATTCAATTGGTTATGCATTTCACAGGAGAAATATTGTGGCCTTATCAGCTACAGTACCAATCTTCAGGGCTTTGGCAGCAGTTGCACGGACTTTTTGGTCCCTTTGATAATTAGTTAATATCACTTTGCTCTCAGAATGAAAGAACAATAGTGATTTTTGAACCCCATTTGAACTCGTCAATGAAGAGTCCTATTTTTCTTATACATTTATGAGTTCTTATCGACTAAATTTCCTGTCCAAGCTGGCTCCCCGAATCCAATTTAATTTAGTCTTATATTATCAGTCACCAAAGAACTAATAGAAGAGTGTCTTCCCTGCAAGTTGGTTTTCTTGTGATACTGCTGCCAATAGTTTATCTCGTACAATAGCTTTAACGATTACCTCTATAATTGTATTTTCATGATGAAGGTTGTTCTTGTTTGATCTTTCACAGCGCGAACTCGGGTTGATGGGAAGGAATTTTTCCGACAAGTCAGGTATTGATACTGTGTTATTAAGGTTCAATGTGTATATTGCTTGTAAAAGTAATGGCTGCTTTGGTACTCCTTTTCTACCTGTACTATCAGTCACCATTTTTGACTATTTTCTGTACGACACTCCCTTATTTAGTTCTTTCTTCCCATCCCACTGTTATTATTCAAGAAATTACCAACTTCCCTACAGTAGTAAACCTGCAATTTTGGATCATTTGCCTCCGTGCTTCCTATTTCTCAATTCTCACAGCAGTTATTTTTTTCCAACTCCCTTCCCCTATCAGGACTCGTCTGTCTTATGAACAGTTTGCTGCATTTTTAGCAAATGTGAAGGATCTAAATTCCCGCAAGCAAACGAAAGAGGTTATCTTTCTCTCTTCTCTCTCTCATTCTCTCATTCCATGTTGAATGTAGATGATAGGTGTGTAGTTGCAACGAGGTTACGCTCACAACTGTTGGATGACTGAGAGAAAAAAAAAAGGTTTAAGTACTATTTTGATTATGTACTTTTGGCTTTGGTTCATTTTAGTTCGTATATTTTTTACTTTGTTCATTTTAGTGCTTTTGGTCATTGTATTTTTTAAAAGTAACCAATTTCGTTATGACTTGCAAATTTTTATACATAATAGAGACTTTTTACAAATTCATTGTTACATCTCAAGAAATTTAGTGAGTGTAGTGTCGTACTAAAATTGTGATCGAAAGAAATGAGATAAAAATGAAAATGAAAGAACCAAAATGAATTTTTAAAAGTAGAAGGATCAAAATTGATATTTTGAAACAAGGGTCAAAATTTATTGTCATTTTTGGGAAACGTCATTTTCACTCCCAATAATTTATTGTTGATGGTGCGGTGCGATACGTGTGATTTCAGGAAACGCTTCAGAAGGCGGACGAGATATTTGGCGACAGTAACAAGGATCTTTATGCCATTTTTGAGGGATTGATTACTCGCAATCTCCATTAAAAGAAAGATGAACCCAGAAATGTAGTTAAGAATCAGATGGGCAACTACTGCTATCAGGTTTGTTGGCATCAACTGTACATCCAATACTGTGGCTTGTAAATTTGTAATGGAAGGTGTCTTGAAATTCCTTCCCTAATTCATGTCATCAAGCTGTGTAAATTTTGCTAGTTAAGGATGAATATTAACATAGAATAAGATGGTACCTACCTTACTAATCTACATTTTTCTTGGTGGAAATTATGATCAATAACCTATTGTTTTTAGTTTAACAACAGGTAGAAGTAGAAGTGGAGGTAGAGATTCAAAAATTCGACATTTTAGTTTAAGATATTTGTCTTAGCTAGTTTAGCTATATTCAGGTTGACAGTTCTATTTATCTAACGTTTGTACACGTGGTAGTAATTGTTAATATGTTCTAGTAACTAACATTTTGCATAATGTATTAACAATAAACTGCCTTTAAGTTGAAGGGTTATTTTGAAACCATTTTTAAATTTTCATAGTTTACACTGTCGCATTTTGTTTTCAGTCAACAAATAGAATTGTTTGGTAAATTGTAATAACTACAAATGTAATTGTTTGTATGAGAATTGCATGATTGAAACTTGTGACAAAATAATAAGCATTTGTTTTGGCAAAGCAACGTGTCTCTGACTAAGAGGTCACGAATTCGACAAAGATTATTGTTGTGGTCAAATATTGATTAAACAAAAAATATAAAGACGTAGAAGATTATTGTTGTGACCAAATATTGATTAAACAAAAAATATAAAGACGGTAGAAAAATATTGAGGTTAATTGAAAAATGTCAAAATTGTTAATTAAATGGAAGTTATTATATCACTGTTTTCTTTTTCTATATTTTTTTTTGTTTTCCTTTATGGGCATGCAAGGTGGATTTTGTTAAAAATTATTTAAAAATAATTATACATTAGAAATAATAGTTTGTAAAAAATAGCTTCCTTGACACAATTTAGAAGGGAAAAAAATTCAATGAAAATAAGAGTTATATTTTATTATTTGTTATCGAATATATTTTTGGTGGTAGATTTGAAAATTAAGTTTCAATTTAAAAGAGATGTATAGTAATAAATTTATAAATCAGAGGATATATTTAGTTTAATCTAATATATTATTATTAATTAATTTATTAAAATACATGTTATAAATTTTATATAATTATCATGTATTATTTTCTACGTATTTTAATTAAAAAGAATAAAACTAATTTATAACATGAAATAATATATTTACCAAAAACTTATATTTCTCCCGGTGTAATTTTGTCTTTTAAACTTCAAAATTTAAAATCTAAAAGAATTGAAACATAAAAATATTAATGTAAAAAGTATAACAAATGTGGGGATTGGACCACCGAATAAAAATTATCAATATTTATTAATGTTTTCTAAACTACTAAAGTCATTATTGCGCCCAAAGCTATTTAACACGTGCCAGGTGCCACGTGTGTCGGGTTTGAAAGTTTGACAGTTAGACAGCTTAAGGAACTCGAAATCTGGCAATTTTCCTGGAAAATCAAATCGCCGAGAAAGGAAAATTTTTCGCAGCTCTCTCTGTGGTGATCTGATTCAGTCTATGGCGAGATTTTGCAGTTGTAGTCTACTATTTTTCTTCTCATTATCGATCTCCTTGCTCCTCCGCCGAGCTTCGAGTTCTTATGCTGGTTCCGCTAGCTCAATCGTCAATCCCGCAAAAGTCAAACAGATTTCATGGAGTCCGCGGTACTTAAATTTCACTCTCGCTGCGCTGTTGTTCTAGTTTCTGAGCTCTGATAATCGACTTCTTCTTTTGGATTAACTCTGTTTCCTCGATGATTTGAATGATTTTACAGGGCTTTTGTATACGAAGGCTTTCTCACGGACTTGGAATGCGATCATATCATCTCGCTTGTGAGTAGAATTAGAATGATTCCTTTTTCTACCACAATGGAAACTCCTTTTTTTTTCTTTCTGTTAATTGTTCTTTTGTTCAAATTAGGCTAAAGCGGAGTTGAAGAGATCTGCTGTTGCGGACAATTTGTCCGGAGAGAGCAAGGTTAGCGAGGTCCGAACTAGCTCTGGGGCGTTTATTCATAAAGCCAAGGTTTGTGCAGAGTTTGCTTCTTGTTTTTTTAAGCTTCTAGCAGAGAAGATAGTGATGTTAAATCTCCATCTAACCTATAGCTTGAACTCTTAGCTTGGAGTAATGTAATTGTTTAATGTACTTTCAAGATTAGTTTGATTCACGAGATCCATTGGTTTAATATTAGTTTGATTTGTGAAGTCTATCTTAATATGAAATGAGTGAGTAAATGACAATGTGGTTATTGTTAAGGATCCTACATTGATAAAAGAAGGGACCTTACATAGGTTTATAACAGACTGGGCTACTCCTCTCCTTGTCAATTGTCAATTGTAATTAGTACTTCAGATCTTCTATCCTGATAGTGTTATAAATCACCACTAGAAACAGAAGTTAGAACTATTGGATTGAAGCAACTTTCATAAGTTATTTTCATCAATTCATACTTGATTTAGAAGGGACAGCTATTATTACTTCTTCATTCTGCACTAGTTTGGATGGCTGATATTTTGGATGTAAATTTTTTGAAGAATATGTTGACAGCCTTAGCAAATTTCGATTTTGCCTATCTTTGATGATTATTGTAGCCGGAAAACATTAAACGTCATCCTTTTGTGTACAGATGGAGACCAATTTTACTTATAAACTTCTAACTTGATGAGGAACTCTATCTCCATTTCTGCTTTGTAAACTTATTGTTCTATATCTCATGTAGGATCCTATTATTTCTGGTATAGAAGACAAAATTGCAGCATGGACATTTCTGCCAAAAGGTATACCATTAGCAGGAGGCACAAATTTCTTGTCAGATCCCATAGTCATTAGCAACTTATCCTAAATTACAGAATGCTTTTTGTTATCCTAAATTAAAGATTGAATTGATTAACAATTGAGTATGGAATTATAGTCTTTTTTACCACAACTCTGGATTTTTACAGGATATAGGCTTTTGCAGCTGAATTCTGAATTTTGGGTGCTTATGTTCTATCCATTGTTATGATTTACATTTTAAAGAAAAATTTTGTGATAATTATATTAAGCTTTAGCGTGGAAAGAAAAAACAGAGAATGAATGGCTGTGTGTCCGATGAGTTCTAGTTCTCATCTTCTGTGTGCACTGGTATAGTTCTATTAACAAGATTTTACTCCATTTAAATTAGTGAACTTAGAAGACATACCCAGTCATAATTGTGAAATACATAATCAAGTGACAGGATCTGAGGAAAAATGTCCTTGCAGCAGGGCAGAAACAGTGTTTGGACTCGGTTCTTTTTCATTTTTTAGTGAGAGAAGAAAACTATGAATGTCAAACTCTGTTTATATAAGATGTGAAACATTTGACTCGTGCATAAATAGCTTGTTCATGTATTAGTATTACTGGTAAAGTGAAACTTGAATGTGCTTGATTTCAGAAAATGGGGAAGACATTCAAGTGTTGAGATATGAATATGGGCAGAAGTATGATGCACACTTTGATTACTTTTCTGACAAGGTTAATATTGCCCGAGGTGGACATCGAATGGCAACTGTTCTTATGTATCTTTCCAACGTAGAAAAAGGTGGTGAAACTGTGTTTCCTTCTGCAGAGGTCCGTCCCAGTATTTCCCTTCAATCCAATTAATTACAACATTTCTTGCATGCTTGCTTTTTACCGTATTTGGGAATTATCAAGTGTTTTGATTTTTTTTGTACAATATTATTTCCAAACTATTTTTCTCTCGAGTTACCTTACTGCTGGAGGATATATCTGTCTCTACTAAATGACTTGCATCATCTAATGCCGTCTTTGAAATTTTAATTAGAATTGGAGAAGTTTTCTGTCTTTGCTGAATGCTGTCACTAACTGATGATTTTTTTTTAATTGAAATTTCAATATTGAATATTTTTGTTCATCCATGTGAGTTCAGGAATCTCAAAGACGCCAGGCTTCTGAAACAAATGAAGATCTCTCAGACTGTGCAAAGAAAGGGATAGCAGGTGAGTCTTTTAAGAAGATAGAAGTCAGTTTTCCAACTCCTGTCCTATTTCTGAAATTAAGTTCGTCGATAGCTGTCGGGATTTCTCTCGTTAACCTCCACCTTTGAAATATTCAGTGAAACCACGGAGAGGCGACGCTCTGCTCTTCTTCAGCCTTCATCCTAATGCTGTTCCAGACACATGTAGTCTGCATGGAGGGTGCCCTGTCATTGAAGGTGAGAAATGGTCAGCAACCAAGTGGATTCATGTCGATTCTTTCGACACGATCTTGAGAGACCATACGAATTGTGCTGATGAGCATGCTAGCTGCGAGAGATGGGCTGAACTCGGCGAGTGCACAAATAACCCGGAGTATATGGTGGGATCTCCCGAGCTTCCTGGCTACTGCAGGAAAAGTTGTAAGGTGTGTTGATAAGACTTTGCTCCATTCTTTATGTGCATTCCTTACCTTTGGTTTACCAGGTCTCTGTGTTTTGCAAAGTTTGTTCAAAAACACAAATGGTAGTTTTTTGAGAGCATTTTCATTACTATGTTTTGTGACAGATAGCATGTATTGATAACTCAATTATGTAATATTATTGGATGAATAATATGTAGTTTTTGGAATTTATTTGGATTTAAAGGGTTTTTAATCAAAATTTTCAATTGTTTATGGTTTCCTTAGAAAGATGTTCCGAGTAAGATGGATGATTATTTTTCAAATGGACTATTTATTTGCAATGTCCAGACACAAAAAGGTTAATAAAAGGTTAATAAGTTATAAGTTCTAATTCCAACCCATTTTATTTAAATCTCAATATTGGAAAGAAAAAGAGGAAAAAAAGATTATAAGTAAAGAATTTGAAAGAAGGCATTAATTTATGATGTGAAATAGACGATCAAAGGTATTCGCCTAAAGCGAACGAAAAATATGATTAATTCATAAAATACATAACAGAAAAATTTTTAGTACTACGATAGTACTTACCCTTTCCATTCACAATATGACGCATCATCTAGTGATATATTGTTATATTTCATAGATTCTACAGTTAATATGGTAAATTTTTAACCGAAGTAGTATGAAAGATTAAAATTTATATACATAGTATTATAAATTTTTCCACATTACAAGCTTTCATTCTTAAGTGACAGCGATCTTTCATTCAAAAGACAAGTTTTTTATTTAAGATATATCATATACTGTAAGTCAAACAGCATACAATTTCTTGTTTATATGAAATAATCAAACAGAATTAAATTGAAATCTCCATGATCAAGTGATCAAGAAAGTTCATGAACTTCAAATGGAAGAATATTTTCCAACCAAACTCAACATTAAACAAATGGGAAAAAAAATGTCAACCAAACACAAACATTAAAGAAACAGAAGAAGAAGACAAGAAAAAAGATTGCATTTTAATTTTTGAGAAAGCATGTGTATTTCCAACTGTCCCACTATATTAAATAAAAAGGAAAAACAGCTGTAGGATTTGCTGTCCCATTTCTCAAGATCAAATTTCTATAAATTAACCAATCGAATCATAGGGAAGCAATTAAATTAATGCAACAGATCAGACGGTCGGAAATGGTTGCTGTCTTGTCCCAAATGGGAGATTTGTATACCTCCGAACCTCGTAAATTTAAGAATGATAAAACAAGATTTTTATCTATGTCAGAATAAATTAGGATGGAGAACCAAAAATAAAAAAATTTGTTTTTGTTGTTTCTAAAATTTTTATACAGTTTTGAAAATGTTTCTATATAAGAAACATAAATAGTCGTCGAATGGTTAGATTTCTTAAATAAAATTGAAAATAAGATCAAGAAATAAAATGTTACCAAACGGGTCCTCAACTTCTCTTCTTTTACGTTCTTTGGATCATTTCTAAAATAGTATTATTAAGTACTTAGTTTTATTTAGTCTAGAATCCCGTCATAGAGATAAAACCAAAATTTTTAAAACGATATAAATGAAGTTGAAACTAGTATTTTTAAAATTAAATTAAGAGTTTGGCTTACCCTTTTAGAGCTGTAGTGAGGGACAAATTATTTATTTATTTTTAAATTTAGTAACTAATTAAACATAATTCTAAAAGTTTTAAGATCAAGCTTATAAATTAAAATAACTAAATGTTTAGTTATGTCACTTGACTTCAATTAGTTAAAAACATATATCATTATCAAAAAATCAAACACGCGAATCCTAATCCTGACTAAAAAAATAAATATGCAACACTTTTTCTATTAAGTGCTTTTAACAAAATTATTATAAATAAATATGCAACACTTTTTCTATTAAGTGCTTTTAACAAAATTATTATTATTATTATTAAAGGGAGTTCGATATGGTTCTACAATAACTATGTTTGAATTAACTTAAGCACCCTGCTAGAAAGCAATTGTTAGTGCTTTTCATCCATTTATTTGATTGAGAATTTTTTCAAGAATACTTCTAAGAGTATAAAATCAAATATCAAAGTGAATTTTTACTAAACTTTTTGCTGAAAAGCTTACCATTAAAATATTTAAAATTGCTTACCAGTAAAATATTTAAGAAGCAAATTTCAAATTCAACAGAAACATAACTATAAGATCTAGTTAAGACATTTCTACGAGGTTATATATTTAAATTTCATATATATATTTTCTTTCTTTTTTGTATGGTGCAATATAAAAGTACTCCTAAACATGTTTTGTCACAATAGTAAAACTTTAAAGATCTTCCAACAAAAAAAAAGTAACATTTTTAGGTAGAAGCATAACTCTCTAGCAAGTGCTAATAGGAGTGGAATTTAGAAAAAAAGAAAAAAGGAGTTCGTCATAAATAGTACAAAACATTTTTTTTACCAACAAAAAGAATTAAAAAAAAATCGTTTTTAAAAATGAAACGCAACACTTTTTGAAAAGAACAAAATACTTGAATAAGAAAAAAAAACATGGATAATATAAATAGAAAAAGCGACCAATGAAATTTGCGGAGCCATAAAAAAAACAAGTCTCGTTTGCAAATCAAAGAAACGAAGAAAACGACAAGTAGAAGGTGGGAGCTTCGGCTTTGAATTTGATCCTCTAATCTGTAATTTGTAAAGAAGATCCTCAAAATCCATTCTCTCAAAACCTGCTTCCGACTCTGCTTCTACTTCGCCTCCTCTGTAGTTGCTCATCCATCGCTGAAACCAGCTCAAATTCCTCGATTCCCAAGATCTGTAAATCGAGAACAGGTTTTCTGGATCGCAGAGTCGTCTTCATCAATCAATATTTGAGTTTCCACAGAAGAGGAAGCTTCACTGCGTAAAAATGGAGGTGGGATTGATGCAGAGAGAGTGGGTTCAGTATATAAAATCCTTGCTCAACGAGGTAAAACCTAAAATCTGAAGTGGGTTTTGTTTCATCTCTGATGGGTTTTGTTTTATGAATCTTATGTTTGTTCTGTTTTCTTTCTGGGTTTTGGTTTCTGTGGATCTCTTTGTGTTTTGGTGAGAGAAGGGTACTCTGGATAGTCAGTATTTGCAGCTTTTGCAACTGCAAGATGAGAGTAATCCGACTTTTGTTTCTGAAGTGGTGACCCTTTTCTTTGAAGATACTGTGGAGCTTCTTAATAAACTCTGTTGGGCTGTGTAAGGACTCAGGCTATTTGGCTGCTTCTCTTTGGAATCTTTCTCTCTCTCTCTCTCATGGATGCAAAGTTCTCCAATCATCCATATGTACAGATCTTTCTGGTGGCATGTTTTTCTTGGACGAATTGTTTTATGTTTTCTCTGTCTTTGTCAGATCACAGCCAAGCGTGGACTTCAAAAAGATTGATGATCATGTACACCAGCTGAAGGGCAGCAGCTCCAGGTACATGTTTTCCTTCTCTCTCTATGAATGAATATGTGAGAGAAACACCCTTGAGAGCACTAGGTTTAAAGCCTTAAGATGTGATAGAATAGAACAAGTTCCGTGTGAATTTTCCCTTCCTTCTGTTGCACAGAGTTCAAACTTATCCATTTTGTGTTGAACAACTTTCTGGGCTGAGGTGCTAATGTGAACTGATCTTTTTCATTTGAAATTTGAACAATCATCAAGAGAGGGAGGGGAGGGATGGGGTGAGATATTTATGATGCATCTCAGATCCTGAAGATCATGGAGAAAAATGCTAACCTTGTGTGTTCTTGTTTTGATTCTTCTGTGGGAAATGCAGCATAGGTGCACTTGGAGTGAAAAATGTCTGCATTACCTTCCGGAGTGCCTGCGAGCAACAGAGTACTGATGGGTGAGTTCTTTTCACCATTTGGTTGATCTTTCAAAAATTCTCTTCTCAAACAGAGTTCAGCTGTCATCAAGTGTCTTATTTAGAAAACTGTTGTTTGCAGATGTGTGAGATGCCTGCAACAAGTACAGCAAGAATTCTATGGCGTGAAGGAGAAGCTCGGTTATCTATTTGCAGTAAGTAGAGAAATTTGCTACTTAAGGGGCTTTTCTTCTTGTGATCTCATGTTTTCATTCTTCAGTTTCTGAGACAAAAATTGATAAATCAACTCAAAACATTGCTTTCTGCAGCTGGAAAAGCGAATTTTGGATGCTGGTGGATCGATTCCGATGGACTTCTAAAATCGACTGTTACTGTGGAGTCCCTGTGGAGTCTCTTTTCTCTTGTTCTTTAGGTTCTCAAATTGACTGTTTCTTGTGCTTTGTACAAATTTGAAACCTTTGCCCTTTTCACTCAGAACATCCTTGTTTTCTACAGCTTCTTTTGACTTTCCATTTTTCGCATCTGTTTGAGCTGAATTGTCTGTATTGCAAAAAGTCCTAGAAGATTCTCTGGGTGATTTCAACGAGGCAAATCTTCTCTCTTATATCTCTGTTCCCTTCATATCCTGTTAATCAACATAGACCAGAAGATATTTTTGGGGCTGATTATAATTTTTTTGGATTTTCACTCTATTTGGAACAAACAAAATGTAACCAATGGACAGAATAGGCAACGCAACGGATTAAGAACAGCACGAAGCTCCAGACGATGACATAGTCGATTCGATATAGGGATAATCTAGATCTATTGTTTATTGCTTTCTTTTAACCACAAAATGGTCACTTGTGTTGTACAATTTTGCCCCTGAAATTTTCATCTCTGATGAGCATCAGCAAACACAAGATCCACGGCAGCAATTGCCAGTGTTGTTTTGCGGTTTATTCCACATTCTTTTTTGGTCAATAAAGCTTTTGATCACTGCAGACTGTTTCATATCACTTAGCCGGTTTGCAAATAGATCAAAGTAGGCTGTTTGGTTCAAATTTTGCAGTACTTTGACTAATTTCCCTCCCTTCTCATAGATGACAGTTTCACCATCTTGAGATTCAACACCATCTGCGAAGATTTTTACAGGCTTGAAGTGAAAAATTGGCTCGATATCCAGGTTTGTGGATTTTACACCATCATCTCCAGACAGAACTACTGCACCAAGAATTTCACTCAAGAAAGTATCCTACAGCAAAACAATCTACTGTTATTACAGCAAATAACAGTTAATTTTCATAAGAATTCCAAAGATTCCAAGTCAATGGAAACAAAGATACAAAAAGATTGAATCAGTAGAGCATTTTTTTACGGTTTTGTACTCGTTGAAGGCATGAGATGGACTAACCAAACAAAAACTATGAAGAATAGGTGAGATTGGAAGTCTTGTATGCAAATTCATAGGCATTGCTTACCACATGCTTATATCTGATGTCTGACTGCTTCAAGCGAAAGAGTCTTGACAGCAAATGGTAGGCAAAGAGAAGCTCGGGCGTCCTCTTTTTCTTGAGGAGAGTTTCTAAGATGTTTTCAAATGAGCTGACACGTCGCTGGACCCCGAGAGGAATGAGTATGACATTAACTGTTGACTCGAACACAATCTTGGCAGCTAAAGGATCAAGAAACATATTGAATTCTGCATATCTATTTGAAGGAACAGTGAATACATTTTCTTTATCTGTGTCGTCATCCTTGATGTGCCCCCCAACTACATAAACTTCCTGCAGTGAGTTCAGCGCTTACATTAGAATTATCAGAAGTATGCAATATGCAGCATATCTAAAGCTCAGATTCTGCTAATATGAATCTCAAACAAATGTTGCATGTAATTCAAGCTCAGCAGCTTAAAAAACTCTCCTTTCTTAAAGATGCAGGTACACTAGAGATTCTAAGGTCTCCATTCTCTATTTTATAGCATATATGTTGTAGGTCAACTCAAGGCAATTAATACAAACAACTTTTCTCCCTATACAGTATACAGGAAGCCACCACAAGAAACAAACCTTCCGGACCACATGGAGAACCAGCCTAAACGTGCAAGAGAAAAATAGCAATATATTTTGAACTGCTCAATAGAACAACAATTTTCACGGAGATTATCATGGCGACTTTATTTTCTTGCTTCGTGAGCATCTGTAGGACATGTTTTAGATGAGATAATGGCAACTGATTCCCTATTCACACCGTTTCGAACCCAACGAGTACATTCCAAAATAACTAATCCACAAACCTGGATATGGGAGCTTGCGTCTTGGTTTGATGTAATAAGCTTTGCTAAGTTAGTCAATGGTCCATTGGTAAGCACTGAAATCTTGGATCCCGGTTCCAATTTTGTCAATATGGTTTCCCAAATTTCCATGGCTAGAGCTTGTCTCAGTTCAAGATGCTCAGAGTTCCGTGGAGCTCCATGTTGAACAGGGTTTTCTGCTGCATACCTGACCAAGAAAGTCAATTTAGGTCACAGATGATAAATAAAATGAATGCAAGTGAAATATAACCCGAAGTGATCTCCCTTGGTTCACACTTCACATTCAAGTTATAATCAGTTGGTTTGATTTTTCAGCATGTGAGATTGGAGCATTCTCTGACAAGTACAGATAAAGATAGATTCAATATGGAATTTCGAGGTCAAACAGGTAATTTTGAGTACCTTCTGGGCAAATTACGAGCAAGACCATAGAGAGTGTCAGAGTCCAAATATCCACCACACCCATTTGGAATGGCTTTAGCATACTTGCAGTCTCCAACAACAGGCGAAATTAGATCTGTCTGGTTGGCTGCAAATACATCTCCAAGACCTACTGGTATGTCATCTCGACCCATCATATGCAATAAGTCATAGATAACATCTATTGTTGCAGCATTTGCCCACCCTGTTGGACTGGCTATTATTGCCTGCAAGAAACATGAGCAACACTATGCCACAATAAACGAGTCTCTTAATTGCTACCATTTCCAATGTTCCACTCTCAATAACTGCCACCAGGATAAGTTACTAAAATATAATTCATCATGAGTACTGAATGACAGCCATGCCTCGTGAATGGCATTAAGCTGGAACCTTGGAGTGGCTGTAAACAATACAGTAGTATCTGAAAAGGTGAAAAGACAAAGGCAGAAGACAAACTCTACCTTAATGTCAATGACTTCCACAGGTACTTTCAGAAGATAGAACAAAGCTAGAAAATCTCCAGCGCTCATATCCGTGTCAATCACAACAGGTTTTCCGAGTTTAATATTTCTGAAATCTGGTTTGTACATAACTTGCTTGTAATATGGAAATTGTGTGGTAAAATTGAATCTTCCCGTGTTTATCGGACTGTTAAGAACCTAAGCTCAGCACAAAGAACATAGTTTTATCTAAGTTTTCATTGAATGTAGTAAGGAATCAAGAGATAGTAAAACTTTAGGCAGAGTGTGACTTCCATGTCCAAACTCAAGGCAGATGAGAGACTCACATTTAAGAAGCTTATGTAAAATTCTCTGTCAAGAGGGCTAGTGATGTTCCAGTTGGGCTTTGCTTTTGTAGCAACCAAAACATGCACTCCCTCTGGACCAACTACCTCCGCTGTATAGCCATCCTGATGGATAGCATATAATAGGCAGCACATTTACATTATAGAAGCCAAAGGTCGTAGGGGATGAGAGGAACAAAAACAAAAGGCACTTGAAAGTATTAGAAAAATTAATTACCTGACATTTCCCTTTCCCATTATCCACAGTGCAGAAGGGATCTCGAAGTCCTGTTTGAACATGACCACTGTGCACCCCACCTTTTTCAAGATCAAATTTCGGAATTTCACGTCCATCAAAGAATGGATTTGACCCATCATATATACCATAAGGTTTATTTGACGTAACTGCAGTTATATTCATGTACTCCATCACAGCAAAATCATTTTGACCATCCCCGTTATGCGAGTTAAGCATGATAGATGTTGCCACACCAGATGCAAAAGAATCCCACATGAAATAACTCTGCAAAAACTTCAGTTCTTTTGTGATCTTTTATTTATCTCCCTTCACATTAAAATCAAGCAATAGTAACTAACAATGTTTTAATCTCTTTTTTAAAGAAAAAGATCTAAAATGCCATTCAGGGTGTTGGAGGGAGGAGTGCATTTCAGAAATTACTGTATAGAATTGCTCGCCAAGCTGAGAATCATGAGCTATTATTTTCAAGGATTGGAATACATATTGTGCCTCAACTGTGTCATGATGCTGCTCTAATTCTTCAAAGAAATTTTTAGTTACGGGGATAGTGTCTGTAGCATCCAGTGGAACAATGGTGAGCGGAATTCCAGAATGAATCACCTGCAACAACATAACAAGTCAACGCAGTTTTTCTTGGTCCTATGATGATTCACGTTCAGTGTGATTACGATACTTTAACAGTTCAGCAGAGTAAAGTACCTGGTATGCTGCAAAAGGGTCTCCAAAGATATTGAATTCTGCATAGGGATTACTAGTATAATCCGTGAATATGTTACCAGGATCACCGCACTGTTGAGGAGTGCAAGATGTGGTGGTATTTTGTGGACAGCATCCAGTCGGGTTTTCTGATCTTATACCGCCACCCATCGTATAAATATGCTTAACATTCTTCTTTTGGTGTGGATTACTCATGAGAAAATGGCAAAATTTGTGTGTGATCCTATAAGGAATACGTTAATGGGACCTTCAGATATTTTGTCAATCATAACCTGCTGAGCAGTTGATTGTTGCAGAGGATTATATTTCCTTCTTCCCTAAGTTCATAACAAAGGATATGAACTGAATTGTCTCAGTATTTGCATATCTTGACCAATAGTATCTAAAGATTGCTATGAAAATCAAGCTAAAGGTACATGAAATAGATTTGGATTCTGCTGATAATCATACTTGCCAGAAAATAGTATATTATTGTAAAAACTGAAAATATATGTCGTCAGTGCCATATCAACAACAATGAACACGTTCTGTGAAAGAATTGAATTAAAGATTGATTATATTCATACTGATAGTCACCTGGTTATAAATGTTTGGCGTAGGAAGAGAATGAAAGGGGTAGAGAGAGCTGATAAAAATGTATGCGTGTGAGTCTGTTATGAGGGGAGCCACTTAGTTTGTATGAAGTGTGCGCACTGTGCAGTAGGGGAATAGAAGTATATATCCTAGTGAGTGACATCAGGAGATATCTTTTGGCTTGTTTTGCAGCTTGGTTTTGGAAGAGATGGGAGCTCTCAAACACTCTCTTGCCTTGTATCACTCTGATTACGAATTAATAGATTGTAATCACATACCTGTGGGAGGAATGCTTTGCGGAGGCCATAGTTGGTATCAGAATCTAATCGCCCTCCAACACCAACAGGAATAGCTTGTCTATATCTACAACCTCCTGTTGTCGTCAATCCCTGATATCATAAACATTTACATGTTCAAGACTATTTGTTTTCTGTGTGCAATAAAATTTTGCTGAATCCGCAAATTCCTTGTAGTAAGTTATATTTAACTGTCATAATAACATGACAGCATAGTTCTTACAAATGAGCCTAGCAGTCATTTTTTTCAGTACAAAGGCAATATCTTGTTCCAATGGAAGAAATGTACAATGTAGGACTGGGTAAGAGTATTTAACCTGCTCAATTATGGAAAGATATCCACCAACATTCGGTTGAATTGTTCCATCGTCGAGTATTCCGCCTTCTCCTCCAACTCCAACGGCGATATCATCACGGCCCATCATGTAAAGAATGTCATAAATTTGGTTCACTGCATGCCCAGCATTTGTCCAAGCATTTGTGCTAATAGTGACTGCCTGCAGCAATGTAATAGCAGTCTTGAAGACTAGAATAGTAGCCAGTCAACTTATCCAGAATATGAACTATTTGCATTGTATCCCCTCTTCAGAGTCATACTGTTAGTGGCTGGCTCCATCAAACTAGAAGGGCAGGCATACTTAACAAACAGATAATCAAAGAGAGAGAGAGAGAAAGAACAGTTTTCAGACAGTCATCTACTTAACATGTGATGACGGTATTGCAACAATTTGCTTCAGCAATGATGTGTTAAGGAAAATAACTAATGGTAATGTATGTTAGGTTTCTCCATCCATGCCTTATTAAGCGATGAAATCACTAGTTGAGGTTACTTTACTCTGTCCAGAAGGACCAGAGGAATGCTTATTTGTTAAGGAAAGAAAATCCCACTATTTGAGCTGGACAGGTTAAAACAACTCTGCAACAGTACCCGAGAGATCAGGTTGATGGTGAAATTGATCCCAAAGCCCGGTATGTGAGAGGAAGATCATTGAATTATTCCACATTGGTTCTGAAGATTAGATTTTGGTTAGTGCAAACGAACGTCTCAACTCTTGAGTTGGTTTTTTGGGGGGTGAGAAGGCCTATTTAGCACCATTGACAATGACTCCCATTAAAAGCTTCAACATGGGGCCAATCCTACTACCATTTGTGTATAGAATCGTGCAGGAGGATTGGCAAACCGAGTAGGAAGAAAATTGAATAGCCTGTTTAATAACATTCCTTAAACTTCTCAGAAACAACAACCTTATCTAGCAATTTCTTGAACAGAGCTAAAATGTACGGAGATTTTGAACCGGAAGAAAAGGAAAGATAATAAACAACAACAAGAATCAACGAACTAACATGGCCAACTTACTGATTACCTCCAACTCAAATTCTGATCGATTAAGCTTCAACAGGTACAAAAGAGCAAATAAGTCATCAGTGTTAACGTCTGTGTCCAAGAGAATTCGTCGTGGCAATCCCTTTACAACGTTCAAATTGGCTCCAAAAGCCACCGCAATCAACACGAAAACAACCAAGCAATTCCTCCGCAGCAACATTTCTTATGCTTTTTTCATCACAACCCAGAAAATCTAAACAAGAAAACACGAACTACCAAGCTCCGGAGCAAACAAGCTTTCCGTTTAGAAGCAAAACAACCAATCAAAAGAAAAACAAGATAAAGAAATGGATTGAAAAGAAATGTATCTAATCACAGTGACGAAAGAGACAAAGAAAGCTGAAATTTATATATCTTCAGACTTCATTGTCAGCTCTGCATTCTTGAACTTCGAAAAGATTGAGAGAGAAAAAGAGAGATGAAATGGGGAAGAATAAATAATTGAATAAATTAGGGATTTTTAACTATTGCAAAGGGAGCAATCGACGAGAATGATTCCATCCGTTGGCTCACACGCATTGCTACCTTATCTTAGTTGTGAAATTTCATCTAATTTCGATTTTAGTTTATTTTAATTATTTTACTCTCGAAATTTGAGTGCATATATTACAAAAAGAAAATTCAGAGCTCGGTAAGACTTAATCTGAATCCTAGTTTAAATCTTTTCCTTCAATTTGTCTGATCTGACCCAACTCAGGGACTTCAAACTGTCGGCATGCTTTGGACGGTAGAACGGGGACGAGGAAGTCGAGCCTATTCTCTCTCTGGTGGCAATTTTGATCTTTTAACACGACACTTCTTCACTCACTAAATTTGTTTGGACATAATCACAATTTTGTATTATAGAGTTTTCATAGTGTATAAAATTTGTATTAAAATTTTGTAAATATGGATAAAATTGGTTAAGAAATTTAAGAAACATAACAAACATTTTTTAAACCACCTACAATAGGTGGCAGTAGGCTTGCGGTCGAACGAGGAAATGAAATATGAATAAATTTTGTAGTTTAACCTAAAATTTTAAATTTATTTTTCTTTGATTTTTTTTTTATGTTCGGTAATATTTAAATGATATATAAACTTTTTTTTTAAAGTTCGTCAACAATAGTTGAGAGGAAATTTGTACCATTAAACTTTGCTATGTCCTGGTTGACGATTTATAGACTTATTCTTAAATATAGACGAGTTGGATAAGATAAAGTGGTGTCAATATAGGTAAGTACTCTAGTATTTGTACCACTTATTTTATCAGATTAATTAATTTCAATCTACTTTTTTAGTGTCATGTCACGTCAAATGGACTAATATTTATAATGTTAATAATAAACAGAATTATTGTCGAAATTAGAAATTAAATAGGTGCAACTATATTAACCTATATGAACTAATTTGTAACTTTTTAACTTTTATTATGCGAAGTTATAGAAAAGTTATCTTATACAAAGAAAGTTTAAGCACTATTTTATTCTTAAGTAGGAACATATTGTCAAAGAAAAATTAATAAATAAAGTAGGATACTATATTCTCTTTATTACTTTATTTACCATTGTCCAAGTTGGGGTTTCTTTTTCTTTTTTCCTTTCTTTGGAAATTTTAAGAAGGATAAAAATTATTAAAAAAGAAAAAGTGGGTACAAATACCCACTTGCAAAATTATAATTTTTTGGGGAATGGTTTGACTAGCCAAACCAAAAATTGCCTTTCTTTTTAAAGAATTAATTATTTTTTTCATAATATATATAATTTTGCAAATTTTTAATGCATTTTGAAAAAGGATCGCTTTTTGTTTGCCTCTTTCATGCAGCTTCTGGGGAAGAGACTGGTTTTTTTTTTTTTCTTTTTTAACTTTAATTTCCATTACCCAAAAGAGAAATATAAAATTAAAAAATATTATACTTGTTTTATACTTTGGATAACTTTTTAAATTTATTTTAATGATTATGTGGTGGAAATTATTAACCAATGCACAAACAGCTGGACCCACAAAAAGATAACGTTGATCCACTGAAAAAAGATTATTGTTTCACTTTCAATTTTTGGCAAAAAAACAGAATTCCAAAAGAATCAAAATTGCAATTTTTAGAAATAATTAAAGATGAACTTTGATGACTTCACTTTTGTGAATATGTTTTTGTGTGTGTATTGAAAAAAATGTCAATTTGGATTATTGTTTTTGTAGAAATCGCAATATGTTTATTTTTTTAAAATCAAGAGACATAATACGTGACGAAATAGAAATTATAATTATTTTAATTTCTTTTTCAAAATAGTATTGGAGTAAAAATAAAGAAAGGATAAAAGAAATATTTTTAACTCTGGTTTTAAACGATTCAATAACCATTATAATCATAGTCTAAGTTGCGTAAGCAAAATACTAAAATATAAAACTAATTTGTATTAATTAAAATTATTGATACAGAAATTTGGTGTTTCGGTATCTACCAAATTTGCATAAATCTTCAATGATAGGTGGGAATCGACATCAACCTGCAAAACAAATACATCGGGTTGTGGTTGGTGCTGATACTTAAGTTAGAATCGAAAGTTTATGATAGTTTATATTTACCAATTATTTTAGCAGACATTTAGGATTCAGTCTTTTCCTCTATTTATAAGGGTTGAATCCTTGAATTCTTGTACTTGAAGAAAAGTTAGCCCTTTAAGCTTTACCTTGTCGTTGGGCTAGATATCAAGTTGAAGGGTTGTTGGTATGATGTGGAGTTTTCATTGAAAACAAAAATGTATTTTGGATTTGATATGAAGATTTGAAATTGATATATGCCTGTGAAATTGAAGTCTTATTAAGGATTTGAAAACTAATTTGGCAATTGATATTATGTTTATTTGTAAAGTATTTGAAGTATTCTTATATGATTTGATAAAGTTTTGTATAAATTTATTTAAAGGTTTGAAATTGATATTCTGTTTATTTGTGAAATATACGAAATCATGTTGTGGAGAATTGATAAAGTTTGTTTTAAATTATTTCAATGTTTTGAATTAATTTAATATTGAAAGTAAGTATTTGTTTTGCATTTTATTTGAAAGATATTTTGATTGATTTGATAGGACTATCCGGATATGCCATGATTTTGTTTTGAGGAACGTTTTGGTTATTTGGGGTAATTTGGAATTGATGGATTTCTGTTCTGACTTATTGTGGGAAGACACTTTTGTGGTTTGACATTCCTTGTAAATGAAGATTCATGTGTGTGTTATTCACTCACGTGACCTCACACTTAAGTAAATGTTTTGTTTGTTCTGATCGATATTATTTCGACAACTCTGTTCTAGTCGATATTAATTCGACAACTCTGATAGAAGCTTCTGATTATTGGTGTTATTGACGAGTAACCACATATGCTCTGTAGGCTACCCAAATAATGCAATTTCCACTCTGATTTTGAAAGTATGAATGAATGTACCATTGTTTTGAATGTTTGAATGATTGAGTTATTCGAAAGTTTGAAAGTTATACCAAATGTTTTAGAAGTAATTTTGAAAGTCTTGATTGAAAGAAAGTTTATTTTGAAAGATTTGAAGTTTGATCGAATGAAAGTTTGTTTCGAATGAATGGAAGATTGTTTTGAATCACTGAAAATTTGTTTTGAAAGAATGAAAGTTTGTTTTGATTGAATGAAAATTTTATCTTATTTGAAGAATTTGTTTATGAAAATCTAGTTTGTTTGAAAGTTCTGAAAATTGTATTAAATATTTTAAAAGACTTTAAAAGTTTTGATCTGTTCGTATTTTTGTTTATGAATGTTTTGAAAAGAAAATGAATTTCGAAATTCGATATGAAAATTGCTTATTGAGCATTTTTGTACTCATTTTTTTTGTTTTCTAAATGTTTTTCAGATGAAGGATTAAAAGATCGTTGAAGGTGAAGTTTAGCGCACCGGCATGAGTTTGAAAGTCATCTTCCTATTTAGTTAAGTTAGTTTAAAAAAATTCTATAAACAAATTGCTTCCTCTGAATAATTTTAGTTCTTAAAGTTTCTTGAAAGTTACGTTTCCGCATTTTCTTAGAATCATCGTATTGGAAAATACAGGTTGTAACACACCTCTTCTCCATAGGTCCGGTCCTTGTACTTCGTTATATTTTATTTTATCTCTCTATAGTAGACATTATGACAGAAAAGCGAACATTGTTTGTGGCATTGGATAAAGAATTATTTCTCTTTTCTAATAGAATCGAGATTTTCCGTCCAATTCGAGAGGAAGCCTCACAGGAATGAACTCGACTACACTTAGAATAATTTTTGTCATCAGATAAGTTACATTTTAACTGATTATACTCTTTTAATTCTATCAATTTTAAAATATAAAAGAGCATTTCTATAAATCTATTATTGATTCCAATTTTCAGCAATTTTCTCTAGAAAGAAAGAAAGAAAAAGAAAATAGATATGCTTAAAAAGTAAATAGTAAGAAATTGGAGGTGGGGAAATAGGAAAAAGGAAAAACACGAGGGGGACAAACGAGAAGACAGAGGAAAACTAGCCCACGTGGCAAGAAATCGTCCTTGTTGGAAAATCGAATCCCAGGGCACGGAATCCACCAGTGTGAACAGTGGGTAGACATGTCTTTTTCCAATTCTTTAATTACATTATAACCATTGGATGGCACGCTGCCACGTGGAATATGATTTGACAGCAAAGCAATTTGTGCCCACAAAAAATTATTATATACCACCCGTGTGGTACTCATTTCATTATTATTCAACAATCAATAATTGATCCATATAAGTACTTCAAAAATAAAAAAAACTAATAATTGATCCATATAATATTAATTTACGTTGATTAAATTACAAATATAGATTTATAAATTTCAAAAAGTTTTAGGACGCTTTTAAAATTTTAGTTTTAATTTACGTACCACATAAAAGTAAGTTAGACGTACAAAATAAYATAAATATGAGCTTAATACACTTTAGAACGAGCATTATAACGTTTTCTTTTAATTATACTGACTTATTTCTCTTTCTCGTGTGTCATGTTTTGTGTTAAAACATCACTTATTAGATGAGTTAATATATCATGTCAATATTGTAGCTAAGGAAATTATAATAAGTAGCAAAATTAATTGTTCTATTTACAAATTTGTCTTCTTTTTTGTTTATATTCGTGAGTGTCTGGACCAGTTTACACGTACAAATTTGTCATATAGAGAAATAATTTGTAATATACCATTTTTCTATTACTAAGTATATCATTCATATACCTAATATAAAGTATATTGTTGATATATCATTTATGTAATAAAGTATATCACTAATATATCATGCTTGTAATAAGGTATAATAATATACCATTTTTGTACTTATTGCTGAAGTCTAATGTTGATATACCGATATAAAAGTATATAATTGAAATAACATTTTTGGATTGTTGATAAAATAGGGTATATTATTGATATATGACTTCTTATATTTCTGCCATTTTTTAAGAAAATATTTTACTATATGATATGTTTACGATTTATTTAGGTTAAATTGCTATTATCATAATTCGTAAAAGTCCCTTTTTAATAACGGTGTTAACAACAAAAATATATTATAATCAAAATTGAAAGATCGCAAATGTCATTGAAACACTTTTAAGTTCAAATTTAAAGACTATATTGATACAACTGCAAAATTTTCTGATTAAATTTATAATTCTTATTTTATTCGATGTATCTTACAATATGATTTTCACAATACTCTTTTCTAAAAACGCATTATTTCTACCCTATCGATCCCCTTCAATAATATATTCTAAACATCTAATTAGTGGATATATTATTTTACTTTATAAATCATACATTATTCTTAAATGTTACTGATGTGATTGAAAATAAACGAGAATAGTATAAAAAAATACTTGTCATATCATTCTATTACCTTGCGGAGCCATGTGTAAGCGTAGTTCTTTTTAGAAAACACATGGATTGTCCATTCTTCTCTTCATAAAAGGCTTGCTTTTAATCACATCACCCCCCTCCATTTGGGCCATATTCTTTCTCTCTTTTTAAATAATCATTATCAATTATGAGGTTGAAGATTTTGTTTATCTTTTTATACGAAGGCAACTAAAGGTAGGAATATTCAAATGAAAAATGAGTGTTATAAACTAACTAATCTTTATCGATTGTGTTTGTCAATGTAGAACAATTGTAAAGTTGGAGCTTCGAACTTTATTGTAAAGGTCATTAAATATCCTCTACATACACTAGCAAAAAATTATAAAAGTCAGACTGTTCATTTATTTCGTATGTAACTAATTATTATTTTACATCAATATTATATATATTCGTCAACTTGAGTATAGTTCAACTGGTCAAAAGTATATATTTTCAATCAAAATATTAGAGATTTGAATCTCTGCCTTTACCTGTGGTTAAATTATATATATATGTGTGTACTCGTCTGTCGGCTCAATTTTGAATTTGGAGGGGAATAAGAACAAGATAGGCCTTGCAAAAATTTGATGAAAGAAAAGTTTAATTTTAAAATAAAAATTTGGGGTGCTGGGGTTAATTGTTGGTCAAAAAAATAGAACAAAAGTTGGCATTTTTGCCACACTTTTGGAATTATTTAAAAATATATATATTTATATTTTTGGTAAAAACTACTTTTTTACCAATGCTTTTTTTTTTGTTCGCTTTTTGCTTTTGCCACTAGTGTCTTGGTTTTTATTTTGGATTTTAACTTTATTTATCAACAAATATACTAATATAGTATAATTTCGATAAAATGTTACAAAATAATAATTGAAGAAATAATTTCAAATATAGCAAAAATAGAATATAATGTATATTAGTTATTACAGTAAATAAATGTATAGGTTAATAATGGATTAAAATGAATCAGTACAATTAATCAGTTATTCTTATTCTTATGATTAATCAATACCTAGGTTAGTTGTATTATTATTATTATTTTAAAGTATTAGTTATTAATTTTTGTTAATCAATTACTAGCATTTATAATAAAGGATTAATAAGTTTTTTTAAAATACTATATTTACACTTTCTATATTTGTAATGACTTTCCAAAAAAAAGGACATATTTCTAAATATATTTTAGAAAATGTTCCAATTCTTCTTCATTTATTGGTTATTTTGTAAAGTATTGAAATTTCTTTGAGCAGATTTAATGAAATTAAACTAGGTTTAGAACTTTGTTTTAAAAACAAAAAAACAAAAAACTATGTTTAGAACTATTGATTAATTTTCGTTAAAAAAACCTATTGATTAATTTAATAAATATCATAATTTAACACTGTATTTTTTTTAAAATAACACAGTAGTTATAAATAGAAACAATTTGATGTTTTTACAAATTTAACACTCAATAATTGTTGCGTCATTTTTAATAAATTCATTTTCATACTTATTCAATTTTATTTAATAAACCACTGAAATATAAAAGATATAATAGGATAGTTATTGTCTTTTTTTTTTTTAAAGTTAGTTATTGTCTTGTTTTGTAAAGAAATCATACACAATATATTATAAATAAAACATATACTTTTTAAATGTTTAAAACTACTTAAATTAAATAAATAACATATATGGTATCATGAATTAAAAAAATACTTTTATCGATAAATTTTCATTGTGACAAAAAAAAATGTGGTGCAACAAAATTCAGAATTTGAAATTTAATTCAAGATTTCTACTCCTCCGTGCGAATTAATGGATGCTTGAATTTCTTCTAGGGTTTTTCCTTTGGTTTCTGGGACCCACTTGATCACAAATAGAATTGTCATCAAAGATATTAAAGAATAAATGAAAAATGTACCTGAAATTTACCACACACAAAAAAAAAAAAAATTAGTAATCAATTAATAAATTCTTGGTTCTAAAGGAATGTAAATAGTTTTTGTTTTCGTTTCTTCTTTTATAGTTCTCATTAAAAAATAAATAAATCTCAAAATTGCATAAATGCTGCGGAGCCAAAAAAGAAATATATAAAAATAAAAATAAAAAATCTTATTACTGGTTTGTTTTTCAATTTTTTAAAAAAATATTAACAGAAGTGCTAATCTTTTTGTTCTATATAAAAAAACTAAAATGACATAACAATTCTAAATATACTTTAATAAGTAAAACTTTATGATTATAATTAATATTAATTTAGCATTATGGAAAACAAAAAATAAAAAACTATTTATATTTTTAATTAACCAGAAATAGAATGGTTATCAACCATGTTTCTATTTTCCTTCTAAAAAAATTACCAAATGGGTCCAAACGACAGTATCTAGAGTTGAAATTTTCTACCTCGTATCTTCATTGAAAAGAGAAAAAATAAACATTTTTAAGTTGATATTATTTATTTATTATTATTATAATTTTCGTTTCTTTTTTTTTTTTACTTTT